CAGTGATGAGCCTAATTCCAATGTATTTCCGCAGTTCGGTTCCACAAATACTTGGGAATCCAGGTCTGATGATGTGCAGGCCATCCAATGCTTTCCTTTGGTTCAAGATCGGAGGGTGCTCATTGATAAGACTAGCACAAAGGGGAAGCTCTGTGGTGCTTCGATGCGAGAGTGCTCTGAAGCATGGTAGCAGGTGCAAGTTCAGAGTGAAGCTGAGCAGCAATTCATGGCAGTGGAAGGAACCAACAATGGTGCATCGCTAAAGATGAGATGCACATAGAGCACACTGAATGCACTGGTGCAGCAAACCCAACAAATCAGCAACTATCAGTGACGCAAAGTGCAAGATCTGCAGTGCATGCCAACAGAGATATTCCAGGGAAGGCCTTGCAGCGCCAGTTGAAAAGCCAAGAAGGGGTGGGTGTCCGTTACCGGAACATGTACGGAGTGAAGTACAGAGTTATTGGGGAAGAATGTTCTGGGGTGATTCTGGCATGATTTCTGGCCTGAACGTTACATTTTTTTTGCGAGATTTCTTTGGCAGATTTTGGCAGATGCGAGACAGTTGTAGCACTTTGATTTATAAGTGCGCTTCTGTAAATTGAAGTCATTGGCAACATCCAGTTGGAAAATGACCCTTGAGACTAGGAAACCATGCCATACTGACACAATCATGTCATTGCTCATAATGATTCGTGTATTTTTATGGAGACCAATTGCAATTAATTGGGATGCAAAAGTCATTTAAATGGCATCGCGAAGTCCCCACAAACCACTACAACATGCGCAGGAGGAAAATGGACAAAAAGGGGTCCTGTGCAAGGTGCATTTGACAAAAGGGGGTCCTCTGTGGGGTCGCCCCTAATAGGACCGGCTTGTCGACCGGCGCCAGTCTGGTGCCGGTCTGGCAACGCACTTAATATACAGGGGGCGGTCAGAAGACCCCCTTTTGTCAAATGCACCCCCACAGAGGACCCCCTTTGTCACAGAGGACCCCTTTTTGTCAAGATATCTCACAGCGGACCCACGTTTGTCATTTTCCCTATATAGATTTGTTGAAATTCTTCTATGCGGCCAGAAACTCACCTCATTCGATTTAGTTTTGCATTTCAATCCGGCTGTCTCCTTGCTGCGTGCTTCTGATGTCACATGAAGGCGTTGGCGCCCTCAGGCTGTCTGTGCAAAATGCGGAAATTCCAGATGCGCTTAACTCGCGTCCTGGGTGTTCTCGTAGCTTTCCGTTGAGCCCCAGAATTGCCAAACGCAGAGGCCGTCATGACACCCATCAGCCCATCCCATACATTAGCAGCCTGGGCAGCTCCCGTTCTTGCAGCCCATGCATCTCCAGTCGCCCGTGCAGCCCAGCGTTCTTAGTGGTATTATATTGGATTAGACTAATCACACATATGCGCCATTAGCCGACACTGTGCACACCTATGGGCATGGCCCAAGCCATCAAGCCTTTTCCCTGCTTGTGGAGCCCATGGCCGTAATTCAATCAGCAGAGATTGCCCACAGGCCAGCCCCACTGGCTAACCCCACGCCCACCCCCACCCCATTCCCCCAGTTGCCATCAGAGCCTGTGGTGAACGAATCTCCCTTTAGCCGGAGCGCTGCGAATGGAGCGCTGTGCTCCATTACAGATCTGTCTATTTACTGCTGTTGCTTTACAAATCTGTTTATTTGTCTGTAAATACTGTTAGGTTTGTCTGTATATCATTTGTACATCTGTCTATCTGTGCCCACTCAGATCTGTCCAGGTCTGCTCCTGCAGATCCATCCGTTGGGCGGTGCTGCAATGTGGCAACACGACTCTCCACAAAGGCACAACACCCAAGCCGAGCGCGCTCTGGAATGGTGGTGTACTATGGCCTCTGCAAAGCTCATGGGCGCGCATGAACTTTGCAGAGGCCACAGTACACCACCATTCCAGTCTATTCAGTGCAGCTACTGCTGAACACAAGAAACGCTGGTTCCCGGCCCGACAATGGTTGACGTATGTGTTCCCGTCAGCATGTAACATTGTCGGCGATCGCGAATCGAAGCCGCTGTGCGGAGTGATTTTTGTTCTTCTATGTAGCGTCCTTGTATGCCCTGGCACGTCACACTGGAGGAGCCCGGGTCCTCAATGTCTATTCTTTGTGAAACATCAGCAAACGCGCTAATTTTGCAAGAACTTATACCGCCACCATATATATTGCGCCGCATTTGCTGGCCCCTCAAAATAGCTGATCAATGCATTGGTTGGTTGATTAATTGAGAGAAGCCCAAACGCTCAAGCCACCTGCAGATGGGCCGCGCTGCCGTGAACCACTGACGCTTCAACAGAATTCCGCAGGTGAACAGTGGCCAGGAAAACACAACTCCACCACGCGACTTGTGTACTGACACCTGGTACATTGCCAATGCGAAATATTCACCAGCACCACACGGTTGCACGAACACAGACAAAAGCCCTGTGAAATGGGCCATCTTCACGAGCATCCGCCAGACCCACCCAGGCTCATTGACTCGACTTGGATTCTGGGTGACAGGCACGGGGGCATTGCCTTGTCGCCATCCTGGCGTTTCGACAGCACTTCAACAAAACGCTGGGAAAATTATGCCATCAGAAATGGCCGCTTCATTTACATTTCATTGAAACAGCGCGCACCATTTCTGTTTTAACTATTGTCATCTCAAAATCGGAAATGACATCCAAAGCAAGTGTTGCCAACGCGATATTGCTCATATCTGTCACGGCCTGCACCACAGATGCACGGCATTCGAGCGATTAAGAACAGCTTAAGCGTGGAACCAACTGCGTGTAATGGCTGGCTTTGCCAGTCACAGTGCCAAGCATGTGCCGCGGGCTGTGTCGTTTCAGCGCCAGACCAACAGTACCACTTGCAGCAAATGGTGTTCTTCGTACACTCCGGACAAGCGCATTCAGAGAGGGCTTTCCTGGCTGCAGTTCAGTTATTAAACCGAGAGAGTAGGCCGCTCGAGCCACAAACAACCATGCAGCGACATCCAGAGCGCCACGTGCTCCCTTCGCACGACCAACAACTGTTCATGCGATTATTCTCAGCGAGGCAGTGCTGGCCAAGCCAGCACGTAGCACCCAACATGCATCGGTGTGCGCACACCACACACACCCAAGTCCCATTGTCCTTGCCGCTCATGCAGGCCCGGCGTCCACCCCCTACTGACGGCCTTTTACGCTTCCTGTCCTCCAATTGCAATGTACATGACTCACAGCAAAAGCTAGCAAATTTTATTCAGTGTTTCACATGAAGAAACGACCCACGTCTTCCGCGAGGGGTGTGTATCTCGTGATCGTGTGCCCCCACGGTGCTGACGTGGGATGAACAAGTGAGTCTCTAACGGCCCTCAAGAGCATTCTTGCCATCAGGCGAGGCCGCAGGTGCTTGATCAACTTGACCTGCTGGCCAGAACACCCTCTGCAGGCCAATGAAGTCTAACAACCGTCCATGCTCCTAAGCGGCGAGCACAATGCTCACCGCACCTCTATTCCACCACTGTGACCCGCAGGAAATCCAACCAGGCGTCTCAACCTACATTGAAGCCGCACTACGCTTCCCAGCACAAATTAACCTGTGCGCTTCCCAGCACTAGCTGTGCCTCCAGCCAAAGCGCTTCCAAAATATACACAGTTGCTGGAAGCAGCCAGTTGTCTGATGGGCACACCTGGTACGCCAGTGCACGGAACATTATCCTAATTTTGTATGAGCCTGTTGCCATGAATCACAGCCCATCAACAGCCCACCAGTTCAACCGGCTTGCTCGTGTGCAGCACAACCCGGCGTTCGTGTGCCCAAAGGCTGTTCCCCTGCAGAACGATCATTCGTTGTAGAGCTACCACCAGCATCAGCGGGTGCTGCGCGGCCAGAATCTGGGTGTCAAAAATGCTAAGCGTGGCCTTCCCTTCTCAATCCGCTCTGTCAGCCTGTTCAGTTACAATGCCAAAAGGAAGGCGCGCAGCATGCCTAATTTCCCCACTCCATGCTAACGTCAGTTTCCATGGACCCCACATCTAAAACCACACCCTCGCTCACCTCTCAGTGCTCCAATCCCATCTTCCATTCCTTCAAAGTGGCGATGCTATGACACTTGCCACCCACATCCTCCTTTGTGGTCCCGTTCATGCATCCTACGGAGTTACCAAAATAATCTACTGCCACAATAAATATCAATGAATGGGGAATGCCGCAAACAGGGCAGCCCAAGCAATGTCTGTTCATAAGGTGCAAAGCGGGTCGCACGCCGCACAGCAAGTCCCGCCAGCAGTGAGCAAACTAAATGGACAGTTCAACCACAAGGCTAAGCCAAACTGCCGCACCCACCCATCAAGTATCCTCACTTCAATATGGTGCACAATTGCAGCGCCCAATGTGCGTGCCAAATGCTCCCACCCACAATTCCCAAGTTGCATCACAGTCATGAGCTCATCAGCAAACGGAAACCATGGCCAGCGTCTTAGAGCCCGACTAAAGCACGATGATGCCAATGAGAATGGGCCAGTTGTGTAGACTGGCCCATGGAAATAAGGGTTATGACTGCCTGTGCCTGCAGCAGTGGCCACCGCTATTTCTGCCCCTGTTGTATCCTTGCGATTGTTTGCAGTTCAGTGCCTGGGCCACCCTCAAGTCTGTGTCTCCATTCAGCTAGCCTCCACTGCCTTCAACCCACCCTTGCCAATCCATGAGAAACGTCCACAAGCACCAGCACACCTCAGAAATGTTTTCTTCTTCTCCTTGTGGCAAAATTCAAGCAGGTCCCCATTCCACAGTATGGTGGGCCAAATCAAGCCAACTAGCACAAGTACACCATTCAAACTTATAAAAAACCCACTCTTATTGCAATCTTCAACCAGCACAAAGGAGGAGTCCCACACATCCATAACAATCAAATCCCAACAACCCATCATGGAGCTCCGCAGTGTCACAACCCGCATACCAAAAGAGCTAAAGCCAGAACCTCCCCAAGAGTGGGAGACATCAGTACTGGTGTCCCCAATGGCGACTATCCAGAGACAGACGCCTCTGGAGGTCTGACCTGCCTGGATCCCACAGCAGGCCCTGGCCCTCAGATGTCACCGCAACGCGCATTGCACCCGACTGCACAGGGTCAGCCTCTCTCTGCAGTGCCTGCACAGAGGGGCTAGGCCTGTGTGAGCCAAGGCACAACTGGCCCTGCAGCTGAGAGGTGATGCTGTCCACAGACAGCCTGGAGTATAGACTTGAATGGGCTTGCTGCTGCCGCCGCGGCTGCTGCAGGTCCAAGGAGGAGGCCCGGGCGCTGCCAGGGGGTTGTCCGCCCTCCCGTTGTGTCTTGATCAGCTCCTGCAGCATCGTGAGCAGCTGCACTGTCTGGCTGCCCTCATGTGCCTGGGAGGGGCCAGCTGCTGAGCTGCTGTTCTGCTGGTTAAACCACGCAGCCAGGTCTTTCAATGCCTCGTCAACTGCAGTGGGGTCTGGTGCCCCACCCACGGAGGACTCTCCTGCCTGAAGGCCTGCCTGCCTATGAGCAAAATCCTGCTGCTCCTGCGATCATGAGCACATAAGAGTCAAGAGTTGGCAGCTATGCTCTGCTTCACTGCTCTCAGACAATTTCGAGTCAATTTTCGCTGCCTCATGATCTAAATCTAGCATAGGCTACCACGAGGGGTGCCTGCTGCATTATGTCATCTGCTCCCCCTGACCATCATTGTGTGGAAGTTGGCCAGTTTATATGGTATGATTCCTCTCTGGCCACGAGGAATTCTTCACAATCATTTGACAGTGTGTGAAGGGTGACAGGGTAGCAGGACATTGACCAGTGAGTCCCCATAATTCTTGTAGCTTGAGACCCTGATCTGATCGGAAAGGTGCATGCATACCCTGTTCTTCATGCCCCACGTCCTGCTGTCTCTACATCCCATGCCTGGAAAGCAAGAGTGTGACAAGATTCTCTGCTGCGCGCAAGATACATTACTGCCCAATACAGAACGTCTTGTAGGACAGGGACAGCATAGGTGGTGACAGACAATCTATCTTGCACAAACAACCTCCACGCACCTTCCAGGGCGGCCCTGCCTCAGCGAGACTCTGGAGGACTTGCCATTCCATTTCATATTAGATTCGTGCGCTTTTCTTCCCCACAAGTTCACCATTAGAATTTCAAGAGACTTCCACAATCTGCGATGACTTTGTCTTGCTCCCATCAACCCCAACGCCTCCGTTTGGCCTGCTATTCCTACCGATATATTATAAAATCCTCAGCATCCAAGGGATTTCCACACACATTCTCGCGATGTGGGTGCCGATCGTATGGCACATTTCCTCCCCATTCTGAATCTGGGCATTCCCCCGCGGACGCGCGCCCGCCCACACGCCCTGACCGCAATTCTTCAACTCACGTATGGCGATGGCATCATGCTTCTCCCCTGCAAGCCCAATCTCAGCCCCGCCTGCTGTTGCTGCGCCAGGTCCTCCTGCGCCTTGGCAGCGGCCTCCATCGCGCCCGCGGCGCGCACCATCAGCGGCCCGCCCGCCTGCTCCTCTGACCCCCTGGCGGACGCCGGCGCCGGCGCCGTCGCGAACTCCTCCAGGGACGGCTTCCTGAGCTCCTCCAGCCCGTGCGCGAAGAAGCACACCTTCCTGCGGCACGTCGCCGGCTCGTTGCACACTTGCGTGCGATACCTGCGAGCCAGGCGACCGCTGAGCGCACGATGCGGCAATCCGCATCGCGGATCCGCGGCCTGCAATGATCGGGCGCCGGCGTATCGCCGCCGATCGGCGCGCGCTGGTTGCAGGATCCCAATTCAACTCGACGCGCGGCTGAAGGGGCCCAGCGGTGAGGCCCGAAGAAGGGGGGAGGGGGGGGGGGCGCCGCACCTCGTGGGGTGCAGCCAGTACTCGAAAACGTTGTGCGCAAACGGGCACACGTCGCCCCTCGGACACGGCCTCCCCTGCGCACGCCGCAAAACAAACCGACCGTTCACATTCCATCCCAGTCACACAAAGGCGCGGGCCCCGTGCCCCCCCCGGCCCCAGCGTCTCCCCCGACGCCCAAGTCCCCCCGCCGACCCCTCTGAGGCGCCGTGCGAGGGGCCAAGCGCCCGGGACGGCCACGAGCTGCCCCCAGCGCGCACCCCGCGGCACTCCCTGCGGCCGCACGGACGTGAGGTCACGTGGTCTAGCGCCGGTCAGCCACAGCGGGAACCCGTCAGACTGCGTGCTGTCGACGTCGCTGCTGCCCCCACCCTTTTCTACAACCCTCGCTTCGGCCGTTCGCCCCCCCCTTCCCCTCCGAGCCTCTCGGCGGCGCCAGAGCGCCTCCGCGGTCCCCGTTCCCAAAGACATCCCCGGCTTGGGCGGCGGATCCGGTCCGCAGGCGTGCCGGCGGAACGAGGCAGTTGAGCGCGGAGTCGCACCGATTTGCTGTCCGGGCACTCGATCCCCACGTAGCGCACGGCGCGCGGGTCGCGCCGCCGTGCCTTCTCGCCCTCGTGCGCGAACGGGCACACCTTCCAGTTGTGGTTGTAAGACTTGGTGCACGGCAGGACCTGATCGCAGGCGAGAAGATCGGCGTCAGATGTCCGCCTGCGGTGCTCACCGTTCCCTGGACGCCCGTCCCGCGCCCGCCCGCCCGTCGCCGCGCGGCGCGTCGCGGCGAGAGCGGAAGCCAATCTGCGCAGGCAGCAACGGGCGGGGCCGCGCGGAAAGGCGGGCTCTCTGCACCCACCTTGTAACAGTACATGCGGAACACGTCTGAGGTGTACAACGCATCGGCCTGGTCACCGCCATCCTTGCTCTTCCTGCCCGGCTTGCTGGCGGCTGCTCCCCGATTCTCCCCCGACATCTTCACCGGACTGCGTTCCCAAACACGCCGGTCAAGCGCATCGCATGCCGCGGCCCTATATGAGATCGGTGCGTCCGCCTGGGGCCCCGCGCCCGCGCGGCACGGACATCTGTGGACTGAAACTAGAAGGCCGGCCCCTGCTGCCGCCTTCTTGCAGCGCTCGAGCGCTGGAAAGGGATACGCACAGCTCCCAGAACACCCAGCCCTGTGCGGTGCTGGTTGGCGCAGCAGGCAGGTGCGGCTGGCATATAGCAGGCAGGTGCGGCTGGCATAAAGTGCGCGGATGGGACCAGTGGTGGGGCCGGAGGGCCCCACGTCAAGGCGGACTGGGGGGAAGGAAGTGGTGAAGAAGTCGACATCTTGGATCAGGTGCGCTCGGCCGACGGTGTACCGCCGGCTTCCGAGTCGTACCCGCGGCCCAGAATGCCTTACCGGTCAGCCGTGACTACGGTGCGTGCGGCTGTTGTACCCGGGGCGGAACGGATCTTCGAGCGTTGTTCCGTGGTTTCGTGGGCGAGCGGGTCCCTGGTGTGGCTTGTTATCTGGTTCGTTGATTGCTATTTTCGGCCAGTCTTGGGGTCGGTGATGGTTGGCAGAGTGACATTTTGGCAGAATTGTCGGCTGGCTGTCAGCCGCAGTGAAAAAGTGCTGCAAACTCGACTCTTGATGGGGCAGACTGGAGCGGCGCGGTGTGAACTTCGCCCGCTTGAATGGAGCGCTGCGGTCTCGTGGGAAGTGTCGCACACGGGGGACCATCCTTTTTCACTGGAGGACGAGCGCAAAGGCCATCCACGTCCGCATGGATCGGGGCCCGGATGGCCGACCCACGTGAATCGCCGGGGATAATCCCTCTCCACACTTCTCAGGGTGAACTGCTGGAGCACAGGCGACGCGAGCGCCATCCTAATGCGAGGACGCCCTGAGCCCCTCCGCTGTCGCTCTGGCGCACACTTCTCACGCTGCTCTTCGCTGTCTTCACAAGCCTGTTGTTCACTTCGTCATAATGTTCATGGGCTGCGGACGCAAATGCGCCCAACTTGCCCGATCTCGACACACAACGGCCATGCGCCCGAGATCCTCCGGCGCTTGCGCGTTGACAACGTGTGAAGGCCCCTGAACGTCTGATATGCTGCTGCAGACCTGCAGGATGACCCCTTCCACCGCGCGCCGTGACCGCGTGTGTGTAGCTTGGGCGTCAGGCTGATGCTCGGAACGCACGGGAGACAGGTATCGTCTGCATGCATTTCAGCCGGAATCCGTCCACAACTGCGTGTGTAGAGCCTTACTCGACACAGCAATCAGAGTGCTCCCTTGCCGTCGCCTTCGTGGGGCCCAGCTTCACGGCGGGATTCGCAGCTCGCCGAGGACCTGCTGCTCGTTAACCATCACAGCATTGTGATGATTGCTGGGGGCGGCATTCTGTTGGCTCCGATGCTGCTGCGACAGCCCTTGCTCGCAAGCTGAGGACCTGGGGGGTTTACGATCAGTGCGAAGTTCCCAACTAACAGTCCCCTCTGGCGGTGTCTTTGGATTGCCAAGTGACAAGGGAACTCACACACTGTGCGTGACCTATGGGTACAGGCTGTTATGGGCATAGTCCATTATTTGTTCAAGGATCCTCTTGGTGATCTTCGATCTCTGTCTCACATCCAGCCTTGTGCCCGAGTCCCGAGCGCCGGACGTTCTGGTCAGGAGCCTCTGGCTACCGAGTGTACTCACCCTTGTCTGGGATTTGCGCAGCGAACATCCACACAGCGAGCACCCCAGCGCAGATCTAGGCACCAGCACCCTTCGATTCGGGCCAGTGTGAGGGGCACAAGTATCTTCTGTCCAAAGAGCAACTGAAACAAAATTGGGTCTCAATGTTTGGCAGTAATATGGCGATTGCCTCAGGTTGGGTGTGTCGACATGTCGGTGTCAATGTCCACCTGTCAGCTAATCGACAGTTGTTGTTGGTGGCCGTACTGCATGGCATCTTCGTGCGCATCGTGGTGCATGAATTTACTACGCACGATGCGCATGGAAGGTGCGATTAATTCACTGATCACTTTCATCAAATCATATGCTGTTGTGTTGGCACGATGGACGGGCACATTCTCAACAATCGTGGAGCACTGCTGGACTGCCGCCATATGGCATACATGTCCGCGAAGCTCAATATAACGATAATGATGGATACATGGGTCACTTGCTAGATTCGACAACTGCCAGACATCCATTCAATTTAACTGAGATATTTTCCATGTTTGGAGTCCTCGGCATGGGTCGCATGACCACGCTGGGCTGCACTGCACTTGGGAAAGAGGCCACTATTCTGTCAACATTAGCAGTCGCTGCACCCTTCCTAAATCATGAAATTTGGAGGAGCATACCGCCAACTTGGCTATAGCCTTGCATCGGATTGCTGGCATTGGAGGGATTCTATGAAGCAAATGTTTGCTGACATTCAGCTGACACTCCATAGAGTGGTCCAGCCCATCACCAAAACGTGTGCACGATTGGCGTGGCGCTCTAAAAAAATTGGCACACCAAACTTCACGATTACTATGGTTTTCTGGGATAGTGAAATTGTTCTTTTTTGTGACAGTGCCGATAATTGATGCGTGAGACGTTGGCATCAGATTTGCCACAACAACCCAGCGAAATCCACGGAGCCTTCCCTCACAACGGCGCCGAAAGCGCGTCTGTTCCGAGAAGGGACCGGAAGGCGAAACGGGAGCGCTTGGGGACGCCCAGGGTCCCCACCTTGCGGCAGGGGCGCTGCCCCTGCCGTTCGGCGCCCGCTTTGGCACTAAGATTCCGCCGAATTGGCTGCGGTTGGAGCCCCACGTTTCCTCCCAAGTTCTGTTTTTGCAGTGCCAGCCCACTGAAATGCGCACAAATCGCCACGTGGGGAGACGGCGCCGCCAACTGGGACCGGGGCTGTTGCTCGTGATGCTGGACGGGGAGGCCAAGGCGCTGGTTGCAGGCGCCATTGCCGTCCAAGCATCGACCAACAAGGCGCCCACGCCCAGTGCCATTCACTGGTCACACGACCAGTTTTTGCTGTCGGGTGGGGGCACACCCTGCGAGCCACGACCTGTGGCGGGCTGCCACTGGTGGCATTTCAGCACTTGGCGCAACTTAGTGGCCAATTGGCGCCTCCCGGCCCTGTGCTTCACCTAGTCCCCAGACAAGCACAGCGTTGACCCGTGAAGTTAGAGGAAGCGGAACACCGATCCCTCGAGCTGCGAACAACAGCGCCGGTGGCTGGTAGCGGCGGGTGGCAGGTGGCGCGGGGGGCTGGTAGGCGAGTCGGTCCAAAGGCCCCGCCGCCTTCCCGGGCTGTGCAGTGGTCAAATTCACAGTCGCAAAAAGGCACAATCCACTGTTGCGAAAAATAGTAGTTTGGAACTGTCGCAAGAAGAAATGTTCACCAAACTTTCGCCTGCGGAATGCGCAAGAATGGAGTTCGCAAGGCCGCATGCTTCCGCAGCACCACCAAGCGGGGCACTTCTTGCCAGCTTCCGTGAGCAGTTTCATCGCCCCCAACACACATACGACCCCAGCGCGCCCAACCCACCTTGTCTCTGACGCCCGCCAGGGCGCTTTTGGCCGGCTCCGCGAGCGCAAAGTCACACACCGCGACGGCCACCCCCCCATGGCGGGCGGCGACGGCCGGAGCGACCCCCTGGGCCTCCAATCGGCGCTGGAGCGGCGCCTCAAGGCCCAGGGCGACATCTCCCTGGACGACTTCGAGGCGTCCTTCTCGCCGCCTGGCCCCGGGCGCCAGTTCCTGGATCGCGTCTCCTTCGACGTGCGGTCCGCGAGGCACTGGCGCCTGCTGGACGCGGACGTCGATGACCACAACAGGGCGGCCAACGCGGGATCCTGGGGCCCAAGGCGGCTGCGGAGCTTGCCCACGAGACTGTCCGCTCAGGCGATGGCGCAACTCGAGAATGACGGCTTCGTGGTCAGCGACGTGCGTCTGGCGAGCTTCGGGGATGCCTTTTTGAGGATCTACAGCGACGACCTGCCGGTGTGGGTGGGCGCGGACGCCATGCTGCACGCCTGGCACCGGACGTACGACGAGATGCTGGTGCACCTGGAGGAGCGATGGCTGGCACCGGCGCTTGGGCGGCTGCTGGAAGGGATGCGAGGGGCCGTGGCGGCGGCCGCGCAGTCGCTGGGAGCCACAGTACTGCACCAGGGCGTGCACGACGCCGACTATTTTTTAACGGTGGCGGCGGGGTTAATGAACCCCAAGCAGCCATTTGCGCAGGTGGCCAGCGTCCTGGGGCACGACCAGGTTGTGGGGCAGACGCTGGCGGCGATCGAGGCCGGGCAGCTGACGACGTTCGAGCTGTTCGGCACGGACAGGATGGTCGACTTTTCGCAGTTCAAGCCTAGGGGCCACTACACCAGGAGCGAGGCGCTGAGGCGGTACTTTCGGGCGATGATGTGGTGCGGACGGGTGGAGCTGAGGATGAGAGGGAAGGGGGGGGCGCGGGAGCTAGGGGCCGCGGTGGCGATGGTGCATCTGTTGAGGGAGAGCGGGGAGTGGGAGGCTTGGGGAGCGTTCAGCGACGCGCTGGAGGCCCTGGTTGGGAAGACGGACTCAATGACGTTCCGGCAGCTAGAGGCGGTCCTGAGGCAGTACTGCACGCAGGTGAGGGCTGGCTGCTTTGCAGTCAGGCGGGTGCGGCCGCTGCAGCAGGTTGGTCCCACACGTCCATCGGGTCGAGAGCACCATGCGCCACCACGTTTCGCGGCAAGGAAATCATAATGATTGGCGCAAAGGGCGCCTCAACCCGCACGTCTTTTCGTTCTAGAGAAGGGGGAGCTTGTCATTCACTGGGCACACACCTCCACGGAGCGGTAGCTTTGCAAGACTTTTGGCCATCCCGTCACTGTGTGGTGCCAGCATTGCACAGGTGGTGCTTGTGCTTTTGGCATCAACAAAAACATAAAGGAGCCCCCCAGCTCCACCCACCACGCACCCCGCAGCCAACCCACTCACCCACCCAACGGAAACATTTTGCTTCCAAAGGCAGTTTTCTCATTTTAGAAGACAATGCTTCTGCGTGCAGGAAGCACGGCTTGCAGCACAACATGGCCAACGTGCATACGTAGGGCAAGCCACAACCACAGGCTGAAAGGCGTTTTTCTTTGACCAAAGCTTTCCTAGCTGCTACAATGGGGACCCGGGATGGCTTCCGCCAATGCCCTTTTGCCAGAGCTGCCCTGGTATCAATTGGCACAAGCTGCAATGACAATGCCAGAAATTGGTAGTGTTGTTTCCAGAAAACGCTCATCCTACTGTGGTGTTCTGGCAGGCTGATGCCAGGTCCTGTACTCTCAAACCTGTCAATAAGCATGCAATCCTTGTTCCAAGATGTCTGCAACACCAAATAGGGAAACAATGCATTGCACACAAATTGGGGCATCACTTTGTGATTGGTCCTCAACTCCATTTTGCTGCCAGCACATGTCTGGCAGCAGTGATGCTGCAACTGGGGGATTGAGTGAAGGAATAGACACTTCTCTTTTACCCACGAGATGGCCATAATCAGCACAAATGCAGATGGGACTGTGGAGTGCTTTGTCATTCTTTGTCAAATGTTGCTGAAAGGGTTTTAACCCCAGACAATTACCACAGGCTGAACTGACGTTTCCTGCAATCTGTAAGCCACCGATTGTATCATTGGATCAACAACTATCGAATAGAGCAAGTTCACCGGCACATCTGGCCCCTCAGCTGTGGTCAGCCCTGAGAAAACTATCTTCTACTAAGGTGCCAGTGCTCCAAGTTGACTACCCTCAGCGTAGTCATACACTCACACTTCATCCAGTACACGCATTTCAGCAAGTGTTTGAAGATATGGACACGTACCTATGGCAATGGTACAGTGTGTGCGATGTCCCATTCCCTAACTGCAGGAATAATCCCATACTGACTCATTTCTTTGGCAGCCTGTGTTTGGAGCTCTGAATGCTGTTAATTGGCATGGCTCTTCCATAATCTTCTTTGCTGTTAGATGTGCGAGTGGAATACTGCCTATGAGTGTGTATCATGAACCTTGCAAAACCCTATTGTTGCATCAGTTCCAGCAATGCTGCCCTTCACAGATTTCTGTGAACACTTTGCCGAGACAAGCGTTGTCGGGCACAATTCAGGAATCCATTGCTGCTGGGACTTGGTGTTGCTTTACGTTCCCTCTTCCTGGCAGATGGCACAAAGCACTGACAGTGTGCAACGAAAAGGAAGAAATTTGAGAATGATAAGAACATATGGAAGGATCTGTCAGGAGAAATGGATGTCCATTTGTCGGATTGTCTTGAATGGGGTGAAATGCCTCTGCAGGCTGGGATACGGACCATGACAGAATTCAGGGAAGACCGCTGCCTTGATGAACTCCTAGCGCTGATCAGAAACTCCAACATGGGATCGCAAGCCATCTGCAGCTCGGTGCTGGAGAGCAATCCCACTGACCCAAACCCAGTCCCCCTCCCCTTGGCAATCACATTTGTGGGGCAGAAATTTGTGATGGACAGCTGGGCACTGTCAAACATCGTCTATGACAGGGTGCTGTACAGAGAGGCCAAGGTGGCACACAAACATCCCACCTGCCTTGATGTGTGCTTCTCCATCTTTGGCAACAATTCCGCCACCCCACACATCGCAGATAGGGTCCGAAAGATGAACCAGCCATACCATTCAAGCCTGACTGCAGTGAGGTCAGTGGTGGACGGGCTCCCAGAGGCTGCGTGGGGAGGTAGTCTGTGCTCGATGTGGTTGAAGCTTCTGCGCATTTTGTCTGAGCCCATTGGGGATGACTACCCTCAGGCGATGAGGACACGGGCATGGGCGGCAAGGGACATGGAGACCCAGGCCGCCAGCTGGACGCAGCTGAGGCATGACAACATCCTCTATGCAAAACAGTCTTACGGGGGCATGTTCATGTGCGAGTACCCTGCCGGTTATGTTGACCCACGCCCGAGCTTCTGGGCAGCCTTCTTGGAGATGGTGAATAGGGCAAAGAAAATCGTACAGAGCACTTTTTTGGGCCTTGACATGGGCACGCTGCAGGGAATGATGGCTGTGCTGCAGAGATGGCAGGGTGTGTTGTGGATGCTGCACCGCATAGCCCAGAAGGAGCAGGGCCACCAGCCGCTGGCGGATGCCGAGACGGATTTTTTGAGGCGGATAGTGACAAAGATGGGCACGGGCAGCATGGGGCCCACGTACGATGGCTGGTACTGCGAACTGTTCTATGGGGACCCATGTGGGTGCTCCGTGCAAGACTGCATTGTGGCTGACGTGCACACCCAGCCACCAGATTACGAAGATACGAGGGGCTTTGTGCTGCACGAGGGGATCGGCCCACCAGCGCTGATGACAATTGCGGCTGACTCAGGGAGCGATCTGGCGCTCTATGTTGGGCCCGTTTTCACCCACCACGAGTTTGAGGAGCCGGGCATGGTGCGGCTCAGCGACAACGAGTGGTTGGATCGCTGCACTAGGGGCCATCTGCCAGCGACGGCGGATTGGAAGACGTTTCTTGCGCCTAAAGAGAGCAACGTATCAAGAGTTTGGTGAGGGTCGATGGCTTGCTGCTCCACACTGCCGATGACGGCGTCACACGTCGTGCAATTTTGTCCGTATTTCAGCATGTGTAAATGTGTAGAACCATGTAGAACGTGTTCCATTCTCTTGAATAAGGATAATGTTAAACAAACAATTGTAAAATTCTGTTGTGAAATTTCTTTTAGGTCGGAATCGACTGCTCGCTTTGGATTCATGAGGGCGAATTTAAGAGTCAGAAACGAGTAATGGTTAAGAATATGAGTAAATGGCTTAGTTTCCGTGAGACACAATGTGCTTGTTGCGCTTAAGATTTTCGGTACTTATGCATCATGGAGTAGTGCAGCATGGGAAAACAATCGTTGCGATTTGCAGGGAAAACATATTGATATGTGCTTGAGCATATTGTCGTAGCCGTGCACTTTGAGGCCAAGCTTTCCCCGTGCAGTAGGGCCTCAACAGGTGGGTATGGTGAAAAGCATTTCGACCATCAAATGTGGTGCATTAAAAGACTGCTTTGGCGCAGTCGCCAGTGTGACAACAAGTACATGATGGCTGAGTTCTCGCAGTTTTTCGTTTACATTGCACCAACGCAAACTTACTTCACTTTTCCTTTGTATAATCTTGCATTGGCAGCGCTTTGATACGGTTCAGTGAACCACATTAACATGTGCAGACCGTTTATTCTCAACATGATTTGGTGCCAAGCAACGAATGGAAAAGTTTTCACCAGTGGACGCGCATTAAACCCACCGCCCTCGAGGCCTGTCAGATACATATCATTTCTGGATACAAAGGGCAAGAAGGGGTCATGAAGGCCACCAAGGGCGCGAGGCCCTAAAAACCTAAATCAAGCGGAAACTTCTAACCAGGAAATGACTTTCATGACCTTCATGTTCGGGAAAAGAAGGATTTCGGACATTTTTGTAGCCGTCCCTGGTGCGCAGCTGCCTCGCCTGAACATGACGGAGGCTGCTCATCCAGTCACACGGCGCCCCTGCTGCCAAGCATGATTGTGACCGCCCATTGACATGTCCGCCACGGGTATAACTTTTTAGGTTGAAAGTAGCTATCCTTCACCATGCTGGATGCCAAACCGCCGCTGGTGCGGTAACCGCACTGCGGTTGTCATTTGGTAAGTCGCAGTATGTCAGAATAGACATGATGTATACAGACAATGTCCTCGCAACATGCAGGCAATAGCCGGCACGAAAGTGCATTGGAAATGCTCTCCGAAATCAAGCAGAGGCTCAACCAGCTACAAGCATTCCCTCGAATGTCCAAATTATAGCATAGTGACGCGTGTGGACTTCAACTTTGTTATGACGGTACTACAAAAATCGACTGCGTCGGATGGCTGAGTATACGGCCATGGCATCGCGTAATGGATATGTCAGGTGCATCTGACATGCATATGCATTCAAGAGAGGGCGCGATATTTGCAGACTGAGCGGAAGGTTGAAAAACAAAAGAAGGAAAGACCCTGAATAAGGAAAGCCGAGTTGTTGCAGAGATTTTTGACGATTGACGGGGTTGTGTCGCGATCGACAAATGGTCAGGGACAAACAGCCTCGTCTTCTAGAGTGTGACCAATTTCAGCGTCCTGGGTGTTGACACAAAAGGCATGTGTGAAAGTCCATTACAGCCAGCCAAAGTGTTTGTCCCTATGCACAAACCAAGACGGGGCCCAGTCACAAGAAATGCGATGTAGGGCGATTGCTGTCCGCAACAAAGCCGTTCTGCTGATTATCCCAAATGGCAAATGACACGTAAGGGGATCACAAAAGTCGCATGTGTTGTGCACCTGAGTTGCAGTTCCCATGACGCATGCGAAATCAGGATGTCACATGAGGGACTGCGCTCAGACCGTCTGACTCGGTCGGGCGTGCCAGCATCCGTCAGGTTTCGAAGCTTCGCGCCCCTGCGCAGGTCGACGACTGCCGGCATGGCAACGTATTAGGGACTGCGTAGTCCCCAAGTATAACTCTCGAGTATACTCCAGAGTAGCATAGTATATTATTATACTAGTGTGCTATAGAATATGTTCTGGCGTGCTGTCGTTCAAAATGCTGTCAGTTGACAACATTTTCAACGATGGCAGAGCTGTTGACAGTTTTCGGATTGGCTGGCAGACACATGGGCGTCGAAAGCAGCATGAAATCTATAAGGCTTTGGCAGCATGCTTCAGGAGAGGGCCACATGAGATTAGTAGCAAAGTTGCCCTGGGAGCCGCTCAGGTGGTTCCAGGGGGATTGTGATCCTGGGAGCAGGTTGCGAGTCTGTGAATAATTTCCAGAAAATGGTTGGAGAAAGGCATTTTCGCAAAAAGTATACCTTTATTTGGACCATATTGTTATCCTGTGAAGAGCCAAGCGAAACTGATAATCTGTCCCGGGAACCTGTTCCGCAGGCGACTGCGAAAGAATTTGCATCTGCGCGGCGGCGCCTTTGTGCGGATGACAAGGGGAGTTCTATCTATGGCCCTTTCTGGCGTGTGTACTGACACTTTCATGACATGATGAAACTGCGATTAGTGCTTGGAAGGCGGTAGTTGCTCAATGACATCCAAAGTGTCGTATGTGCGTCGTCTGTAGCCGGAATGGTCTGATTCAAGTACAAAATTTTTGCCCCATGTTGCTTGTCTTCAATTGTGAGCACAAGGCTATGATTTACCATCATTCGATCGGATTATGCGCCAGGATAGTCATCTATTGGAGAAGTCCCTCTATATCCGGAATGTTCAGGTTCAACCGCATCGAGGTAGTGATCCAGGAGTGAACTTTGCTGGAAGGTGAACAAGAGTTAGTGCATGCAATACATTAATCAGCCGCAAATGGTCAGATACCTGAGAAGGTGATTTAAGGCTGACGCAAAGGAAACAACTAGTAGAGAATCTCGGCCTATTATGTGTTGGTTGCCGATCACTACCTTCTGGAATATGTGTTATTGCTTGTCGGACATGATGCAAAGCAGTTTTGATTGGTAATGACCAGGGCACCTTCAGGGATATAAATTGATGTGGTGTGGCACTCGTAGGGAAAAGGCACTGCCAATTGGTGGCTTGCAGTGATGTATATGCATCACTCGTATGCGCTCGTACATACACACTCGTATACACTCAAGGTGATGTATGTACTCCCTATACAGTGATTCAACGAATACCACCCTCGTGTGGACCGCGGTTCCGTAGGGATGAAAGTTGACTGCACAAGCGCCGCGAAGTTGATGGTCCGCCGCGCTGTGGCAATCATTGTGCGGTTCACCCACGAGGGTTGCTTGTGCACGGGAGCTATGGCTGTACAGCCACGTACAGTACATGTACTGCTGTTTGGGCTGCGATCCGTGAGCTGGAGGTGGATTCCGATCACGGAGCACACGGTGACGAAGTACGTTTCCATTGCGGGCATCTCCGCGCCTCATCACGGGGCAGGGGTGATTGCGCGATGTGCATGGGAGGCGATGGGCGATGATGGGCTGCGTGCTGGCCACCGTCGTGTGACTTTTTTAAACTCCGATCAGCGCAACACCAGGGGCTGTGTGATGAGGATCGTTGCGTGTACTTTTGATATTATCAGTCAAAATATGTGTATCAGTTGGCATGCATATTTCATGAGGATGGTCAGGGTTGCGTTTGACGATGCGTCAAAACTCCATTTCGAGATGGTGAACGGTGTTCGTTGAACACGATAGCCTGATGTGGGGGTGTCTTTCGGATCCACAGATGAAAAGGAATCAACTGGCATTGCGGGGCAGTTTCCCTGCGGACATTCTCCTAACTGAGGCATATTCCGGCGCTCTCTTCACCCTCTCGTCAAAATTCGGACGCAGAAGCAACAAACGCTGCTTACCATAACACCACGACACCACGCCGCCTCCCTTTTCTGTACTGCCCATCGCGAGCTGCGCAAGGCGCCAGCCCGCCAACGCCAGCACCTTGTGAATGTCTCCAACCAGCGCCTCACACAGCGTTTGCATGCAATGCTGCGGTACAGTATGACGTCGGGGCGCACTGTACCATAAAACACCCCGCGTGAAGCGACAAGGGGTGCGTTCGGCTCGAGCGGGGGCGCGCCAACGCCAGCTGCGGACCCACGTGCTTGCGAACGAGGCGCGGAGGGGCAGCCTGCGTCTACCCGCTCTGCCCGCCTTCCTTAGCGCCGATCCCGGGGCGCCCTGTGATCCTCGCCTTTGGCGTGAAAACTGTCCGTGCCGTTCATGGACGCACTTGGGCAACTGAACACACGGCGCCAGAGGCAAGGTGACGTGAAGTGAAGGATCAGCATCCCGGCGAGAAGAGAGCCCATTTGGCCGCATCTAGTCGTTCAAGCGGCGGCATTGATGGCAAGCCTGGCCGGCGGGGAGAACCACAGAGAGCGGGGGACACACCGTAGCTGTGCAGGGGCCGCGACTGGGTGGCTGAGGAGGTATATCTGGAAGGGCAAGAGCTGCAAGATGGGGCAAAAGTCGCGGAGATGACGGCGGAAGGGCCGTGATGGCAGGGGCACAGACGGCTGGTCGGATTCGTGCTTCCCGGGCTGCTGTTTCACGTGCTGTGGTGGTCGTGGATGGCCTCCCACCGCCTTTTCCACCTGTTCGCGGAGCGGCCAACAGCATCCGCGATACTACGTCGCCGTCGCCACACCGTTCGCGTCGCTGATCGTGGGCGCGACGAGCGAGGGAGTGGGGGGGGCGGCGGCGTGGGCTTCCCGGTCATGACGCTGGTGTTCTCGGTGCTGCCGGTTGTGGCGCTGGACACGTCGTACATGGTGCAGAGCGTGGCCATGTCCGCCGCGTCGTTCACAATCCTATTCATGCGCGTCAAGGTCGACTTCCGCTCCCTCCTGTGGTGCACCGTCGGCGGGGTGCCGGGGATTGTTTTCGGGCTGGAGGGGGTGGCGCCGCGGCTGACACCCAGTTACACTAAAATGTATTTCGTGGTGATCTGGTTCGCCTTCGCGTTCTCCCTCTACTTGCTGAACCGGAACCACGGCCGTCCAGTCTTCGGCAAGGTGTACGACTTCGACAGGGGCGCGATCGGCATCCTGGGGCTGCGGATAAAATGGAAGGCGTTGGTGCTGATGGGCTTCGGATTCGTGGGCGGCATCTTCACCGCCATGACGGGCAGCGGGATCGACATCTGCGCCTTCTCCGCCCTCACCCTCCTCTTCCGGGTGTCCGAGAAGGTCGCCACGCCCACCTCCGTCATCCTCATGGCCGCCAACTCCTGCGTGGGCTTCACCTACCGCCAGCTCGCAATGGGCGGCGTGGAGGAGGACGCCTGGAGCTTCTTCGCCGTGAGCGTGCCCCTCGCGGTGATCTTCGCGCCCATGGGCTCCTTGCTGGGCTCCCACCTCCACAGGCTGGTCCTGGCGGCCTTCGTCTACGCCAGGACACCGCCCAGCTCGTCCTGGCGCTCGTCGTGATCAGGCCCTGGCTGCAAGGCGACGACGACGGCAAGATGGACAACGAAGATCCCGCGCACCTCGTGCCCACCTCCGGGGCCATCCTCGTCGGGGGGGCCGCGTTCTTCAAGCTGATGGAAGTAGCTGGAATGAGGTTGCAGGACGTCCAGGAGCGGAGACTGAAGCAAGGACCCGGTGCTCTGCAGCTGGCGAGTGGCGCCGTGCGCGCGGACGCGTCCGCCTCCTCTGGATCGGTGACGTCCACAGGCACTGACGATGCGGAGGTGCAGTGTCTGCACTGTTGACCGTGGGCGCAACTACTTGAAAATGGCATAAATGGAGTCCCTTTTGTGTGAGACGTTGAAAGGTACAGCGGGCAACTACGTCCGTGAATGGCGGCCTTCTTCGAGATGGAGGACGTTGCTGCGAGCCCCGGCATTCGCGTGGGCGCGCACGAGCTTTATGACAGCCGCCGGTTCTTTTGGCCTTGGCATGGGCTGCAAGGGACTGCGAACAATGACGTCTTTGAATAAGAACGCGCATCCCCCGTCAAATTGTGTTCGCACGGAAGGACGGGGGCAACTCCTGAACTCATGTGCTGAATTCTCTTGGAAAACTGTGAATTGTAAGTGGCAGCTAGGGCGTGTTGAAAAGTGGAGTGTGCTTTCATGGGAGGTGATGACCCAGCCAGTCGGGTAAATTTTGGGCACATCGCATTGCATCGCCCCGTCGCATGTAATGCCGAGTTCATCGGCCGACGACGACCCGACGCGTCCACCAGCGAAATAATATTACTGCCCGCACCAAATCGGTGACTGCTTGCACCAAATCACGTGCACACTATGTCCTAACCTCCGTTTCAGGGTTAGGTTTAGTTTTAGGGTGATTTCCAGGGTTACGATTAGGTTTAGGGCAGGTTTAGTTTTAGGTTTTAGATTTTAGGGTTTAGGTAAGGTAAGTTTTGGAGGAGTTGGTGCAAGCAGTCACCGATTAGGTGCAACCAGTAATTGTGCGCCTCCACCAGCAGGGCATCCAGATCCGCGCGAACGCCGGACACCCGCGGTTGCGCAAATTCGCAACCCGGGAAATCGCCCCCCCCCCGCAAAACAGCAAACAGGCGAGCCGGAGAATCCCCTGCGGCCTATGTCCGCACCACACCACGCCAAAACCGCGCACAACAAAACATACAACACCCCCACCCCGCTCCTGGCACCGAATCTGCCCCCATATCCCACTGCGCCCCCGCCCGCCGATCTGCCCCACCCGGGAGTGCCCTCCACGGGGCCCCTTTCCACTCACCCGCTTCCGACACGCCGTGGCCACACGACCCACGTGGCCGTCTCCCCAGCCCCAGGCCCCGGGGGCCCGGGGCGGTGTACTGCCCAAACTACGGCGCCGCGGGGCGCGCTTTTTGCCAGGCCGCCCGGCGCCCGGACATCTGGCGAAAGGGGAGATATGGGGATCCGCGCGGGCCACAGGCCAATGCGCCGCAGGACCCCCGCTCCCCCGTGTTTGCGGTCCGTCCGTTCGTGTTGACAGACCCGGGTGGCTTCGCCCCGCCTCAGGCGCCCACACGCGCCGCACTTGCGCCACCGGCCCAACGGGCGGGGGGCTTGGCCAGGGCATCGGCCACCGGCCCCGATCTCGAACGCATTTCGACCCGGAGGGGGCCGCAGGCGGACGGCGGCATGCCGAGAAACAGGCGCGACAAGGCCGGGGGCGCCAGGATGGACTCGCTGTACAACTCGGCGGAGTTCAGGATGAATTTCTTCAAGGTGGGATTCCTCCGCCCCGCCCGGCCGGGTGCCTTTGGCCCAGGGGCGAGGCTGGGCACGGGGCGCGCCCCGAACCATGAAATGATTAGCGAGCGCCGGATCGGACGCCTCCGCTCCCGGCTCGGTCTGCAACCGCCGCGCCGCGGGATCGCTCCTTGCCATGATCCCCGGAGCGCGCCGGACGGCGGGCCGCTCGATAATGCCCGGCCCCGGTTCCGCTCGACGCGGGCGGGCGGTGCCCAATCGGCTGCCCCGCGCCGGCGGCCGCCGCGATCATTTTTCTGCCCCCGGGTCGGCGGGCCCCGCGCCAGGGGGGCCCCGGGCGGTCCGGCGGGCTTCATCTGGTCCGAGGTGCCCAGATCGACTCCTTGGGACTGAGAGTGGGGGTTCCTGTGGCCATGCAGGTGCTCCCGTGCTCCAAACACTACTGCCACGACTGGACGGAGTGCCCGTTCGCGCACCCAGGGGAGAAGGCGCGGCGACGCGACCCACGCGTGTTCAGATACGTCGGCATCGAGTGCCCGCAGGTCAAGGAGGTGAGGGAAGTTGCGGGGGGCCGGGCCGGGCGCATGGCTTCGCTTCGGTTGGCTTGGCCAGGGGAACGGGCTCTGGTGGTGCCCCTGCACGGCGGCGAGCCTCTTGGCGCGGCGTTTTTTCTTCCGGTGGGCGGGCTGGGTGATCGGGATGGCCTCCCCCACCCCCAGATCTCGAGTTTTTTGCTGGGTGGTGGCTCCGGGACAATTTCTCCTGTTCACGGAGGCGCTTGAGAAGACGTGCGGCCGACAGCCCCCGTCGAGTCTCCGACGTCCTCTTCTGCTCCCCACAGCTCTGGGAAGGCCTTTTCTGACCGGCCGATCCGGTGCTGGGCCCCCGCAGGGTGCCCCGCCCTGGTGCGTCACGGGCGTCCTCGATCCTGCCGACCGCCGAGCGATCTGCAATTTTCTTTTCGGCGTGCCGCGGCCCAGATGGCCGCACGTCCGTCAGCGGCGGAGCCCCGCCGGGCGCCCCCATCCCAAGGGGTGCATCGCCGGGGAAGTTCGCTGAATGCGGTGTTGTATTTTTGTGCGTGCAGGGCGGCAAGTGCCCGCGAGGCGATCTGTGCCCCTTCGCGCACAACGTGTTCGAGTGCTGGCTGCATCCAACAAGGTGAGCAAGACACCCACGCACCGCGGGCGCCCTCCGGGCCAGCCGTCGCTCTCTGGGCTCGCTGCAGGACGATGGAAAATGCGCCCGCGCGCAAAGCGTCGATTCGAATGGTCGCGGCGCGTCAGCCCCCGGCGCTGTTCCGCGGCGCGACCGTTGGATGGGGCTTGGCGTCACTCCAACGCGGCTGGCTCGCCGGCCGCGCCTCGCGCTGCTCCGCCGGAGCTCTGCGGTCAACCGTCAAGCCAGGGTGGGCCATTTGAGTCGATCGGGCGACGTCGAGCGCCACATGCGCCCCGAAAACTCGTTCCGACCTCATGGCAACTTTGCCCGCGCCATCCTGCCGCCGCCTGGAAGATTCCACGTCGTAACAAGAACAACCCTGTCAAGCAACGGACGCATCCCAGCCCCCCGAGAACGAACCTGCCATGCGATGGACCCCTCCTCCCGAGTACAAGGAACGCGCCAGCCCCCCACCCCCCCACCCCCCCACCAAACACACACGGCAGTGCGCGTAAGCCCTGCGCCTTGCATGCGACGACGGACACGCCCACCCACCCGCCAGGATTCATTCATCCGCTCGTTCCCTCACTCGTTCGCTCCTCCCCAGGTACCGGACCCAGCTTTGCAACGAGCCGGCGTCCTGCAAGCGGAAGGTCTGCTTCTTCGCGCACTCCGTGGAGGAGCTGCGCGAGCCCACCACTGGCCTGGAGCACCTGGCCGATGGGCCCGGCGGATCGGCGCCCGGCGCCGCGTCCCCCGCGCCCAGGCCCGTGGACCACAGGCCCTCGCTGGACGAGAGGGGGTCGTCCGGGGGCAGCCCCGTGGCGTCCAGCCCGGCATGGAGCGCGCCGGACGCCCAGGCCGCGCAGCATAAGTCGCCCCAGGAGGCGGCCCTCCTGGTAAGGCGCCTTGGCCGGGCAGGCCTCGCCTGGCAACTTGTTTACCTGCCTTGTGTGGAAGATGAATTGTCTATTGAGTTGTCCTGGATTGCAAATGCCCGGGAGCGGCGCTGCCAAGAGAGAAAGGAACTGGTCATGCAGTGGGCAAACCCTCCTGAGCAAGCGTATGCGAGACTCTCCAGAACGTTGTGCACAGAGGCCAGCGCCGGCTTGGCTCACTGGCCTGTGTTGTACGAACATTTGTTTGGGTCTTCAAGTCTGGTTATTCTGCTTGGTCGGTGGTTGCATTTGCGAGTAAGGCTCAGGCCATGCATGCCACGGGCGGCGTCTGGCAGGGGGCCCTTGTGCAGGGGAATTTGGCACCGCCTGTTGGCTGCCCACAGTGGCAGCTCTGCGATGACCCGAAAACGAGTGCGGTTGAGTTTTCAAGGGGTTGTGCCATCAGTTGGTTCAGTCGCACAGCTGTTCTGATGTGTGTTGAGCGCACACCTGCGCTTATCAATGCAATATGGAAAGGAACTCGTCGAGATTGGGAAGCAACCAGCCACATTGGAAGTCTTTGGCATTGACATATGCAGCTCCCAGTGGCAAACTCACTCCTGGGTTAAGGTCTCAATTAATTATCCCACTGTTTTGATGTGGCGAAGCTGGAAAGAAACAGCTGCTGTGGAGTTCTTTTGAGACCCTATGTCCATGATAGTGGGGTGGCATGCTTAAATTGCAGATGGCTTGTACCCAGCCTGTCGCTGTTTCCTTGGGAACCTTCAGCAATTGGCCCACTGGCAGCTGATAGTGTTTTGCTGACACCTCTTCTCTGACACTGTCATGTGCGTGCCATTTTTGCCAGGCTGCTGCTCTGACGCAGCTCCAGAATGGACAGCCCATCAGCACAGCTGCGGATGTGACCAACCCGCTGGAGCAGCTGGCGATGATGCAGGCTGGGGGCAGCCCTGCCCTCCAGTCCCCAACCCCCACAGGCGTTCCTGGGGCGCCGGCTGCCAACAATGAGCGTGTCATGCAACTTTTGATGCTCCTTGTGAAGGAGATCGCCCAGGCCAGGCACACCCAGGGTCAGCAGCAGCAACAGCAGCAACAGCAGCAGCAGCAGCACCGACGGAGCCTTGAGGCCGCAGCCCTGGCATCCCAAGTGCACAGGAACTCGTTGGACGGCGCCCTGTACGGGCAGCCCAGTGCACAGGCCCACCACCGCGTGCCGAGAATGTCCCTAGAAGCGCTGCGCCGCATGTCGTTCACCATGCTGGGCAACTCCGGGAAGGGGCCCGGTGGCGAGGGGAGCTTCATGCGCACGCCGTCCATGGGGAGGATCAGCCTGGATGGCAGCATACCAGACTTTGTGCTGCACGACACGCGTGCACGTGCGCCCTCAATGGACAGCAACATGTCTGAGACCCTGAACATGGCCCGAGCAGGCCGGATGTCCATCGACTCATCTTCCTCGTTCCTGTCCGGTGGCAGGCGGTCCATAGAGATGGCCGCTGACGCCAATCTGCTGAGGATGGCCGGGCTGGCTGGAGACCCCACGGGGGTGGTGGCAGACGCCCTGGCGCGGAGGTACGAGCCGCCTGCCACGGTTGAGGCTGCTCAGTCAGAGGGGTACCTCTACAAGCCAAACGACCCAATTTTGCATGTCCAGGCGAACAGTTTTCCTGCCGCCAATTAGGAGATGACTTGGGACCATCCAGTGGCTTGTCGTTTTGTTCATTGTAGCTGGGGTCCGTGCCTGAGGGAGGGGTTGGGGGACCGAGCCCTTTCCCTTCCCCCTCCATCTGTGTCTGTGTCCGTGTCTTGCATTAATTGTTTTTGATTGGTGGGTCCCCGGGGCCCATTTGGATCGCCCATTGCGGTTCCCCCGCCCCGGGGCTCCGTCGGCAGATTCACAGACGTTGAATTGCCTGCCCTAGTCGCGCGACGTTTGTTTAGCAGGGATTTAATTGGATGCATGGGTCCGGGAGCATGGCCGCAGCATGAACTATGGTTTGGCGAGCCTTTGTGATTCTTTATTCTGATGCGTGCCGAACTATGCTGACGAAGCGCGCCCTGTCGGCCGTGGAAAGGTGCACAGCGCACAGCGGGATGTGGTGCCTGCCGATGGTACACCCCAGTGTGCATGTGTGGCCATCTGTGCTAGCTTATTCTGACTGCTGATTGATGATTGATATATGGTTGTGATGTCTCGGATTCATAGCATTGGATTCAATATACCCAAAAAAGACGCACAAATCGGGAAGCGGGAACCAGGAACACGCGAGTGAGGAGTTTGTGCTAGTAGTGTGTGCTCTGTTAGGCAGGGAATGTATGTCTAAAGGGGACTTGCCAGTAGCCGTTCTCGTCACTGCTCTTAGGGAATTATAGCGTGCTGGAGGGTGCAAGCAGCGACGGAATAATCTCGCACATAGTACCCTCGCAGCGACGTCTGTCATGTCGCGCGGCGCCCCACCCCGGGACGCCGCCGGCTGGCGGCCCGCCCTTCAGCACAGTGATTTAATTTGGCGCCTCCTTGGTGGAAGGCGCGGACAGGCGGAGGGCCAACCTTTCGGGAATGAGCATTGCGTTGAGCATTTATTCGCGCAAGAATGGGCCAGGAACTGATCAAGCCGAATGGCCGACGTATTGAGTATTTTTTCGACGGGATGCATGCATGCGGTTTCTGCCGCCGTTGGAGGAGCGGCTGAGGGCACGGATCGGCTTGGGGGCTTGGAACGGTTGGGATCTTGGGGCCCATCCCGAGCACCCCTGCATAGGTTCAGCCCAGAGGCGAATTCTGGGCCAAGTACCTTGGTCGCTGAGAACTGAAGTGTCTGGCAGACGAGTTGAAAATGCTGTTTTAATAGCGGCGCAGGTCCCACCCGGCCTGCGTGAGAACTCACGTTCAGTCCTAAGTACTTAATAAGGCTGTTGTAAATGCTTTGTCTCTTTTTGGGCACACCCACCGCTTGCTGGAGATGGAGGGGGAGTTTTGGGGCGGTGAAGTGCAGCTTCTTGGGATGGAGTGGGACAGGGCCACGGCCCACTCGCGCTCTGGGCAGAAAGTTTTGATCGATGAATATTTCCTTTTAAGAGGTGCGGACGGTCGGCTGAATGTAATGCACTGCGTGTTTGTGTGTAGCTGCTGTTCTTGCTGACTAAACACCACGGAATTTCAGAGCTAAAAAGCACGGCGTCTCTCCTGCCTACGACTCAGCGAACACCGGGGTGCAGAATCGTGGGGGGCGGCGCCCATGGGCCAGCTGCCGTTGTTGTCTCCGGGCTATGGACACCGCAAGAGGGGAGCCACGGCGTGGGCTTGGCTTGGGAACAACTTTGCAACCCAAACCGCTGATTTCTTGTGCTGGAGCAACGCCACCTCCGATTGCCAGGGACGAGTCTCTCAGCTTCGTGCGCGCGTAGTGCTGTTTCAGAAAGAACACGTACCGGGTCCGGCAGGTCAAAAGCCAAACTCGGGTCCACGGATGGTGGGAGGGACAGTGGTCCGCAGAACAAAGGACGAATTTGGAGTCCGCACGCCACACCGAGCCCGAACAATTGTATTTCAGCAAACCAAGGCCCTCGCGACTTGCGACACTCGTTTGCTCCTTCCCCACTCATTCGTTGTTTGGGTTTCCCGCAATGCAACGCAAGCAACATGCGTTGAAAAGGATATAAAAGGCCAGGTCGCCACAAGCACCCAGCCCTGAGGCCCAGCACGCACGCGAGATGAAAACCCGACTGGAATTCCCCTGCGCCCAGAGCGAAGGACAGCCCGTTCAGGAAACCAGCTCGGCTGCTTCCAGACCTTTGCCTCGGCCATTTCCTTTCTTTCGCACATCTCCACCGTGCGCCCAGGAGGCAGCAATGGCCCACAGATGGCCAAGGTCAATCCCCACCAGCCCACACCACGAGGCAACAATAACCCGGAGAGGGCGGAGGTCAATGCACAGAGGGGGCGCAGTTCAGTGATGCACGACCAGGGCGTCAGCCGACGCGCACGCCTCCACCGCCCCCACGACGCCCCGAAAGGCCCGCCACAGCCGCGGCGCCACCCCGCACAGGAACCCTCCCCCCCGCCGCTCCTGCGACGCCATCCGGTTCAGGTCCCCCGCGCAGAAAACCTCCATCCCCGCTCGCCCCAGCGCAACCCCCCACTTGGAGTGGTCCCTGGTGTAGGGCCAGGCGATCGCGGATCGATTTGCAGCCGCCACGCCCGCCACGTTGAGCGTCTCGATTGGGCAGGCCGGCGGGCAGCAAGAAGGCAGCCGTCCGCCCCGCCCCCTCCTCCATGTCTGCCATTCCATCGGCGCGTTGAAATACTGCTCGACGAAGTCATGGATCTTGGCCACAAAGTTGGGGCTCTTCGCTAGGAGGATGAACTGAGTGCCTTGGGCGGAGGCCAAGGGAATGGCTGCAAGGGATGGCGGGGGGGGAGGGGGGGAGGGGCGCAGCAGGGTCGTGGCGTTTGGATAGGCCAGGCGGAGAGCATCGGGGATCGCGGAGAAGGGGTAGACGTTGGGGCGCATCAAGGCCAGGGCGCCCGCCAGCGCCTCGATCCCGCCGGGCGCTAGCGTGATGCAGAACGCGTGCTGGGCCTCCGTCCAGGCGGAGGCGGGGAGCTCCGCAATCGACCCGTTGGCGGTGGGGGGCTGCGGGAAGCGCGGGATGCTGTGCGTGACCCACGCGCCGCCGCGGGAGTCGAAAACGATCGCGCCCTTGGCGTGGGCGCGGGATTCCTCCTCCCTACCGTCCGGCATCTCGTCGTTGTAAAAGATGGCGCCCAGCGGCCCGGGGGCCATCTGGGCAGGGATTGGATGCCGCCCCGAGAGGACGGCGGCTGTGGCGGGGTCCAGGGTGCGCCACCAGGGGGTCAGGGGCATGTCGAGATCGTCCGGAGATGAGAAGTCCAGGCCGGGGGGTCCGGCGGTTGCGTCCAGGTAGCCGTACCTGAAGCCGCCTGGGCGCTTCAGGGCGGCCCACCAGTCCACGATGGCCCCGGAGGGATCGCGGCAGCCGGTGGTTGGGGCAGAGGGGGGGCCGGCCCGTGCCGCCGTGGCAAGGAGCGCCAGCGCGAGGGGCCAGAGGGGGGGCATGGCGCGCGTGGGGGGTGGGGACGGCCAGCCGGTGGAGATTGAAGAAGCGGGGGGCGTATAGCGCATATAAATATACCGTCCCCTTCACCGAGGACGGTTGCGTCCAGCGGACGGTCGGCACAGGGCGCAAAGGCGAAGCCCGGGGAGGTCAACGTTTTAAAATATCCGCTGCTCACAGCCCGTCCATCACCCCCACTCCGCCTCCCGACTTCCGTCAATCCGCAAGAGATTCCAAACCGCACGCCCCCCCCAAGACTTGGTCCCCCCTGACGCCGGCTCGATCAACGGCGAGGCGGCATCCCATCCCTCCACAGAAACAGCGCCCGTCGACGCGACATGATGCGCCACGCCGCTCACTCTTTGCGCGACTCGTGCCCACAGCCCGCAGCCCAGTCGGCGCCGCCCGCCCTACAGTCCCAGCTTGGTCCGCCGCCAGTGGCGCCGCTTGGCGTTGTAGCGGATCCTGTTGCCCGTGCGGAAGCGTATCCAGTGCGGAATGGGCCGGTTCTGCCGCTGCTTCTTGGCAAGCTTCTTCTTGATCTTGAGCGTCTTGTGCGACGGCATGGTGGCAGCCTCGGCGGCGGCCCGCGTGCCCTGGGCGTCGAAGCCCCGCACGTCGGCCTGCCCACGGATTTTTGCTGGCCGGGGGTGGGGAGGGTGGGGCTGGGAGTGAGTCAGCGTTGACGACTTTGTTTCTGCGATTCCGGGGGGTTGAATAAAATCAGTCGTTGATTTTGTTGCTGATTTCTGCGCCCCCCTGCAACACAAATACGCGCCCCAAGAGAAAGCGTCGATGACGCTGCGTTGCTCGGGCGAAACAGGGAGCTGATGGCCAGCTTCTCGCCTAGATAAGTGGCTTTTCTTGTTGATGGTGACGATGAAAAGTACTCACCGCCAATCTTCTCGAGGAAGGTTGCAAAGAACTGGGCGTCAATACAATTTGTTCCGTGTATAGATGCAAACCGTGTTGGATACCTGGATTCCTGAGTCGTGCGCCAGTGATGCTGACCGCGGTTGAACCGCGGATGGGCACCCACCTCCACGCGACGATGAACACACCATGGCGTGTGGTTTTGTCTCCTGTGCTTCCTGTTGCACTCAGAGACCTATGCGGCATCCTGGAGAGGATTGAGAGGAATGTTGCGCATGCTCTTTCTCGCTGCGTGTGTGCTTGGGTTGAAGTCCTTGGAGAGGGCGGTGAGGACAGGGGGTCCCAAGATTTGTTACGTGCCAGTAGGGAATATGTCACGGAAAAGTGCACCTCCAAAGCAAGTTTGTTCGAGACTCTGCCATACTATGAAAAAGGTGGTGTAGAGTGGCAGAGGGGTAGGAAAGGTTTGGGTATCAGGGGCTATGGGTTTCAAGGCTTGGGGTACTCGATGCATACACTGCTGGCCTTTCTATTGGCACATACGTTGACCACAGACCCTGGTATGGGGAGATGGGTGGAAGAATCTTCGGTGGCATGTGGTGGGCTCCGAAACACATGTCAGAAAGGTGATGAACAGCTAAAAGAGCACAGCCAACGATCAAAGCATGAGGGCGCAGGTTTGTCTGGTCGATCAATGATGCACAGCGCACATTTTTACAAGACAACCGATCACCTGGCAGAAGTTGTCTTGCACTGAATCGACAACCACCACACAGTACTGAGTCTTTTCAAAATTAAGTTCAAGCCTGTGCCCATCGTGAAGCGAGCAAACTGCTCATTGGCAGAAATCTGAGTGCTAACGGGTGCACTCCCCACCAAACAGCTGCACCATCAGGCTCACTAGTAAACACTGCGCTCGTGCATTCAACGAATGGCCACAAGCCCTCTCAAGGTTGTGCGTGTTCTGCAGGCTCATATCTTCTGGTGATGTGTTTTGGGACGAGGTCAACCAACCGCCCCAAGACAGCGGACTTCATTCATTACGAGTCATCTTGGCAGTCTCCCACAGCCGATCAGCTGAAAGCTGAAGCAGCCTTGTCGAACTCCCCTTCAGCAGCTTCCGCTTCTTTGACGATGATGTGGCCAGGATCGGTCATCTTCAGCTGACTGTGGACAAGGATGACATCAGCTGAAGATTGTATATTCAACAGACGTGCAACATGTCACGCATTGTACAAGCCCCTCCTGAGCAACAACTCAGGTGGTGTCCTTTCTACGGTGTAAAAAACGGTGCAAAATATTTCAAGTGCAGCAGGATAGTCAGCCAGTTCATCGTCCACTACTGGGATGAATTGTTGCTAGTTTGGACTTGGGGGCGCTTAATGAGATCGCATTCTGGACAATCTATGTGCAGCCAGCAACATACACAGCATCAACTGGCAGGTGTATGAGTTGTGCGCTTGTTACTACTCAACCAAGGCAATCAAACAAATTGCACTTAATGAGGGGAGAAAACTGGCCACATTCCACAAGCTATTGTAACAGCAAACAATTCAACCACTGTTCTGCACAGATGCTAAACCTCCATGCACCGGACAGACCCAAGGACGCCTTCCAATACTCCTTTCCCCAAATGTTCTTATTTAGTATTATAATATAACACATGTAGCAATATATGATAATAATATATTATACACTATGGAAGATACTCGGGAAAAGTCTGTAGAGCAAGTATCGAGGACTGCAACCGATGGGCAGGGCGCTTTCAAGCTTGCCAAAGGATTTCACTTGAAAAGAGAGATCCAAGTCTTGTATAGGAATTTTTCCGCATCTCACTCTGGAACCAGAATTTCCCCTGAGGTTCAGACACAACTCTTCAGTGGAACTCCTGGGCCCCTCCCAGCTTGTGGTTCTCTGCCCCTTTCTTGCACAAGGCAATGACCTGAGACTGCCCCCACCTCACGTATCGCGAGACCGGCTTCCCCAAGTGCAGCTCGCACGCGATGAGGTTGGCGAGTGTTGTGGGGTTGTTCGCATCCTTGTTCAATGCATCCAGCAGGTCGCGCTCAGCATCTTCGTACTGATCCATTCGCATGTTGCAGACGCCACTGCCATTATGCAACAAGCCCTGAACGACACAGAGCCATGGCATGGTCAAACACGTGGAAGGCGCAGCAACATCGATCAACGGTCCAAGATGCAGCTGCGATTGACATGCAGTGGTCCACAGCTTTTGACACATGCAGCTGCCTTTTCATTCATAAGGGCCAAACCCCAAGTACTCCTATTTTCATGCTTGCTCCTAGCCACTGGTTTCAACATTGTCATTGGTGGCTTCTGCAGTGGAAACACGAGAAAGGAAAGGAACCGGGAAAGAAAAAGTGGAAAAATGTAGATCATGCTCTTGCTGGGACAGGGAAACCCTCAATTCACTTGTTTCCTCATTACTGAACTTCATCGCACTATGCAAACTGATGTCATATGCGGTTTGAGGCAGGACATATCTATTTTCCTTATTCCATGTGGACAGATGTACAGATGAAGAGTGCAACTCGTGGATTGCGTTTTGTTCCCCTCAACATTTTAAAGTAGAGGCATTTTTACAATTGGAGTTCATCCATGACCAGAAACTTGTGGAACTTGTTAAGCAGGTTTCATGTACGAGTGACCTCCCTGCAGTCAGCAAAAATGGCCCCACCGCAGTAGTACACTAGCACTGTCAATGATGCAGCAGCATGGCACACTCAGGCATAGAGCCAGAGACCCAGAGCCAACAGAGGAAAGTGCTGCTGGGTTTTATAGGAGTGTACTTCCTAATTCAAAGGCACAACATCAACAAAGAAAACTGTGGACATGGCTACTGCCTTGGAACTGTGCGCACAGGTTAACTCTGGCTTGAAACATTCTTTAACACTGTGCTGCACACCAAAACATGCCTATGGTCACAAATCCTGCAATTCCTCTGCGGTGTGTCCTCCATTGTGGTAAGCCCGCGAGCAGGAGCTTGGAGAGGGTGGGAACGTGCACAGGAGCATACACAAGATCTAAACCAACATTAGCACATGCATCAAACAAATGCATGCACCAGAAGTTGGGAAGGGGGGGGTGATCCAACTGTGAGATGCTGGGGGAAAAATTCTGCAGAAAAAAATTCTACAGAAATCGGCTGTGCAGCATTGTTCCTCACCGTCCACTGATGTCGGTCTCCCAGTTCCTGGAATATGTGAAATGCATCCTGCACTTTTGCTCCTCCCTGTTCAGTCCAGCCACCAAGCTATCAGGTCTCTGTGTTCGACAGTAATCTTCCACGGCTCCACTCGTAATCACCACAATATAGAGCTCAGGCGCTATCCCTATCCTGACAGATGAGATTTGGGCCTGTTGTCACATGCAAGACTGTGCAGAGCCATGGAAGGTTTTGCATATCAATGGATGCAAGCTAAAGTGTGCTTGAATTCACGTAAATACCTAAAAGGCAGTGCTGATACTGCCATACACTATTGCCATCCTGTCATGCAGCACCAATTACTCCGATTCTTCGTACAATTCATCCCACCCAGGTGTAGCCTATTTTGTGGCACAGAATCTGTGTCCTGCTCTGGTTGTTCAAATATGAGTGCCCATATCATCGAATTTGTGTGAGAATCCAAGTGATGTCTACAAGCTCAGTGTAGTCCACCATGCTGTCCGCACCCACCCAATGCTGCACCAATCAACATCGCTGGAAGCATGGACAGCAAACTGTACCAGCAAATTGAAGGAACTGGTAAAAGCGTACCAGCATAATGTACTGGCAAACAATGCACCACTGACAAATGTACTGACCAATGCATGTAAGTGGATGAAGTTCGTACATGCTACTGGCTTCAATGCATAAGGAAGTTGCTCGTCCCTTTTGCACACAGGCCATGAAAAGATTGACATTCTTGGAACATGAAGAACCATCAGAGCAGGCCGACAGAAACGTATCAGACAACCAACACAGAGGCACACTGTGCCATGAAACATTTGGCCTTTGCACACGCCATCTCAGGTCAACAAGTGAAACAGGTGGAACTGCACAGTCAGCAGAGAGCAGCTTGCCAAGGACTGTCCTGGGGTTGGCAGCAAAGCCAGCAGCATCACTGACCAGTGCCAGTCCAGTCCATGCAGTCGACAGCTGTGTGATCGTAGCATCATCATCCACTTGAGACATAGCCTGTTGCATCAAGCGATGGCAAGTGAGGATTTTATGGATACTGCTGGGCCATTATTGTCACAAGTTCCTATCGAATGGGTGTGACAACAGCAGCGCACAGGGCATAAGCGATGTGCCAGCAAGGAACCAAGAATCAGTCATCACATCGATGAATGCAAGGCAGGAAAGAATGTGACACTTCCATGCCTGAATTCTCAAAGAACAGTTCCAGACGACCACTCTGTAGTCACCTTGACCTGCTCCTCAGCTTTATCCGGGCGGTTCATCAACAGGTAAACTTGAACGCACAGAGACATCCTGTGGCAATCAAACAAGTTGAGCACAATGTCTAAGTATGCCACAGGCTACTGTGCCCCTCTGTTGTTGAAGAGCAATCTATGTATCTGCCAGATTTGCAGGCATCCGAAGTGCACAAAGGCCATCATGAGAGAAGTCAGCTTGAGCAAACCCATACAACGTGGAAAAATACACGAAGTGCCCCACACCATGGTAAAATTTTTGCGGGATAAAAGATGAGCACGTCACACAAAGGACAAACCCCCCTGTTGTGCAAATAGGTGGGACTTGTTCCACACGTTGAACAATGATGTGGAGTCTCCGATTGCAGGATGCAACGCGGAGTCCATGTACAATTCATACCAATAGACATGCCCTCAAGGAGTCCCGCTACACTACCATGGGCATACACGCAACTGAGGCCAAGTACATGGGCTGCAGTATCTTGCCTTTTGCATGCAGGGGCGGGTTGGTGTTGGTGTTGTGGTTGGCGGTTGTTTTCTCAGTTCATGGATGGGAGCCTGCAGTCAAGACCTTGCAAATAACGGCGGGCTAGGTGGGACACGACAAACACCAGCATCTTGGGAGCCAGGAACTGCTGCACATCACCTGATGGGTCCAAAAACAGTTGCACGCTGCGAGGGTTTCTTTTAGTGTGGTGGTACAGATGGAATCATTGCTCTGGGGAGCAGATGGCTTATGGTGCATTTCGCAGCAATATTGCCTGTGGCCTTTGATGCCGAAGGATCATGCAACAAGATTCTTGGCTTGTTGATTGCCACAAACAAACGTGAAGTCAGCCAGAAGGAAGCAAGGAAATTTCTCTGGCTGTTGTGAAACACTGTAGATGTGAGCTGAGGGTGCTCAGCTCACATTTCAAGGGTGGCTCCACTGTGACAGCTCTTCAGCGCCTCAACGTAGTTTTCCTCATGGCAGTGTATGGTCCCAGCGATGAGGCACACCATCGGGTTCGAGTTGGTCACGGGGTCAGCCATCCACTCAGACAACGTCTCCAGCACTTTGTCCTGGAAGGCATGTCACACGCCAAGTCAAGTTGCCCTCTTTCCGCAGAACATTCTGGCAATGCCCCATACTTGGGACACTGGTAGTACTTCAGGGTGGACGGTGGGAACACAAGGACAATAGAGTTGGAGGTGCTTGTGTTTTCCTGTGGACACAGCCTACCCTAGCCTGATAGGTGCAAAACAGTGCTTAGTTTTTAACAAATGTACCATCTGCAAACTACAATCCACAATCACCACAGCAGGTTCCAGTGCCAGCATGATGGTTATTTGTGCTCAATAAATTGTGGCAATAAACGAGTGAAATGGTCATTTGTCTAATGCCATCAGATTAGGAGAACCTTCAGAGACAGCAGCCCTTCAAATTCAAGTTATTCTCTTGAATGGGACTGCAAGGGGGGTCAAATATACAGAATGTTCCCGAAAACTGTGGGTGCAATCCTTTTGTGGCAGTTGCCAACAATCCACACAAAACCCCCAGGCCCCCCAGTGAAGGCGATGCAAGGCAGTTAGTGCATCATGGTCAATTTACATCGATCTGCTTGCACCTGAACCAGCACTGTTGGCATGGGCACTGTTCACCCTCTGAACAGTTCATACAGATAGGGCCGCCACTGAAGCTACTCCTTCCCATAGTACAGCAGTCAATGCCGACGGTGGCGGAGACACACACCATGACATGTGGGAGGGGAATATGTGCAGAGCTGTTCAAGGCTGCCCAGTAGTCCAGAATCCAAGCCCAACAAACCCATGACAGATGCACATGACAACAATTTGTTAACACAAACAAAACGCATGAATTTTGAGTAAATCTGGCCTTGAAACCAGTGTGGAAATACGACACACTGGTCGTGTCGTGTACTTCTACTGAACCCAGATCGTCGGACAGCATCCTGTTCCTAGCAGCCTACACTGGGGAAACCAGGTTTGGTAAAAACATCCAAAACCCTGCCTAAACCGTCACAACAGTTTCACAGGAAGGTCAAGACATGAACCCCCCTGGCAAGCTGACAAGGGGGCAATCAATTGCCTGCAAGGTGCACAGGCACGCATGATGCTGCTTTGTCCACCAGTGGACAACTGCACCTGAGAGAAATTTACCATTGGGAGTCATGCCCATTGTTGCTGTCACCAAGCGAGCTGCACCGAGGTCAATACTAAACAACACTGTTACTTACACCTTGGCACTGTGAACACCATTCAGAATCTGCATGGCATCTGTCCAGCCAATCTCCAGCTGGCCTACAACCCTGAAGTTCTAATCATGAGTTGGGACAATGCTTGGCCAATTTAGGGGCTGATACTTCGGGTTGTTGGGTTTTTGATGCAAGGAACTCAGCATGGCAAATCATGCCCTAAATTGGGCCAGCACTGTCCCCAAATCGGGCCACAAATCCCCCAAGGCGGCTCAGGCAGTTGCCAAATTAGAAACCAAAAAAATCCTTCAAATACTTCTGCACTGTTCCTCCTGGGCACACTGCACGTTGTGCATTGGGCCCATCCCATGAATGTTTAGTTGAGTTGGAGTTTGCCCTGCACCCAATCAGTCCAACACTTATCGAACAAGAGGACTCTGCAGATCTGGACAGTGTTGGCGATGCCACTTCAGCGCTACCGAAGCACAAGAGGGACTTCACCAATTTCCTCAGGATGGGCGAGCATTTGGGCCTGTCTGCCAGATATGCTCGCCAGAAATGGTAATGTTTGGTCCAAACACCAGCTTCATTTCGCTGTCCTCTGCATCATGTTCGTGTTGTGTTTGGACATTTCTCGAACAGTGCGCATCAGGAACGAATTTCGCAATCCTGTTGAGGGGTTGGGTGCCAACTGTGCAGTACATTCAGCTTTCAGTCCAAGACACAGATTTTCACCTGGGGCACCGAGCTGGAGAGGTACTGCGCCAGCAGCCGCACGGCCAGGAGACCCATGGGAGCATCGTTGCCGATCTCGCTGATCACCAGCTGCAGCACACACGACCACGCGGCACACCCGTCAGGCTTGGAACCCCCACAACCCCTCGAACGCAGCGCCGCCTGGAGGGTGCCCAAACCTGAGTGGCGGGCACCGGCGTCCATCCCGCTCACGACGCCGCACGGCGCAGCGGTTTCCTGCCCTGCCCTCAGAGGCTGCGTCAGTTTTCACACCGTGCAACAGAGCCTCGGTGCCATTCGTGCTCAGGCTTTCCCCAGGTTTTGCTCGGGGTCTGCTCCCGCACTTTTATGACTTATGACCTCTCCTTTGATGTTGAATCTTCTCGAGCTGACAACAAGGGGGGGGAAGGGGAGGGGGGCTCCCGGGTCACCTTCGAGCGTCCAAGCAGGCGATCGCGATTTGCGCCGCCGAGTCGACCATTCCGCCACCGCGCCAAAGCTCGGGCTGGGGGACAGCATGGTCGCGGGCACCACGCACACGCGAAAACACGTCGGCACGTCAAATGCCAAAACGCCGTCGCGCCCCCCGGCCTCTCGATCCGGCGCCGCTCGACGCGCGGATCAGCCAGCCCCCGCGGCCGGCCGCCGCCTGGAAAGATCCACCAAACTGGCCCACCCCGAGAAGCAAAATCCCGAGCCAACTCCCCCTTCCCCCTCCTTCCCACCCAAGCGCTAGATCCACCCAGCAAATGTCCCCTCCCAGCCCCACCACCGCCCCAAAACACCTCAAAAGATTCCTCCAAAGGCGCCCCCCGCAGCCGCTGCCAGCCCGCCAGCGCCACAAAAGGAAACGAAAAAGGAGAAAATCCCCCCCGCCCTTTTCCCCGCCCTTCACGCTTCTTCAGCCACCCCACGCCGCCCCACGGCGGATTTCCCCCGCCCGGCCCCCACCTCCAGGCTACCCAGCGCCACGTACGATCGGTAGACCAGGAAGTCACGCTCCAGCGCCTCCGAGCCGGACAGCGCCGTCAGGTCCGATGCCTCGTTGATCGCGGCCTGGAAGGCGCCGAGGTGGAAGAAGTTGCGCAGATTGAACAGCAGGTCCGCCCCGGACATCTTCTTGTCTGGGCCCGCGGGGCCTGACAAGCGGTCGAGTCGCAGGCAAAGGGCAAGGGGGGGAGTTTGGGGCTCTGTGCGTGGACGGGCGAGTGGTCAGGCAGGGGGTGGGGAGAGCCAGGGGGGAGTCGGGGCCAGGGGCCGTACTTTAGGGCCGGGTGCCTTTGGGCCCGGGCATCGGATAGGGGCGGGGGGGGAGGGCCCAACGGCATGGGCCAACGGAGTTTGGCGCGGGGGCAGGCCATTGGCTGCTGCGGATCTTGTCGAATGCTGACGGGGAGTTGACGCTGCAAGGGGTCGAGAGTTGAGCACAGACGAGCGGCAATCGGGGCGCCTACCGGACATGGCTCCCAGGGATTCTCCTTGGGGAGTGGCCCTCCCTCTGCGACCGACGGCAAGGTGCCGACGCCGTGGTCTGTTGCTGAAACTGTGGTCCTTTGCATCCGTTTGGCTTGGAGTTCGGGGTGCACGGGCGACTGAAAAGACAGCGGCTTCGGCGTAAGAGGCTCCGGTGCTGATTGGACGCTGTGCCAGTCTGTTGGGATTTGGGGTGGTGATCCGATTCGGAGGCGGGATCATTAGACATTCAATCACTCGCCCATGCCCAATTGCCGACCCCACCAGCCTTTTCAGAAGGCGAAAGATTCGAAGCGATGAAAACGGTCTCGCCAAGACACAGTCCTTCAATTGAGCTACATGGTTTGTGAAGATGGAGGAGTTCCAAGGTCAGGGCCAAGATGGAACTATTTTCTTGGTTTATTTTCCGAGTCCTTCCCAAAGAATATTTGGTCAGAAACTGTAGTCAAAACGCCAAGCGGACGACGTGCCATTGTCATGAATTGGTGTTGGACTCAGGCACAGCATGCCTTTGAAGCATTCCTGCAGTGGAATGGAGACTTTGAGCTTTATCGGCTGGTGCATGAGTTGCGTGTTTGCAAGTTGTCGCGGCAATCAAGGCCACCATTTAGCTGCATTGAAGTCTCCATTCTGAAAGAAGAAAACAGCTAGGTTGGGAAGACAAGGGCAATGCCATTCAGCACCATTTCACACCCCATTGCCCCTACCCTCAGAACCAGACACATAGCGTCACTGAGAAGCAGACACACTGTCAAATGTGTCAGGACTCAAGACATGCAGTTCTTTGCAACTCAACTCCAGCAACCTTCAAGTGTATGCCCGCTCAGCTTCTTCTGATTTACGTGAGCCTAGCCCTGTGGGGTCAATCCACAGCCACCACACGCATGCCATTCCATTGTTTCCAGTGCAGCCAAAAGTGCCAACATGGCTGCCAACAACTGCAGACCTTTGCATTCATGGTCTCAATCTAGAGTCGCAATGCACTTGCTATTGCTGTTGCCGCAAAGAACGGCAGCACACATGATGTGACAAGAGGGCTGTTGCCATGAATGTCCATGCATTCCCAATGCTTTCTTGCAGCTGTTAGAGTCACAAGAAACAGGTGCGCAAACAAATGCAGAAGCAGACGCCCAGGCATCCAGCACAGCAATCAGCTGTTCGCATGATTCGATTATCAGAGGCTGTCAAGTGCTGATCAGATGATCAGAAGCGGGTCAGCAGCCATTTCCATAAACTCACGCCCAAACACAGCATCGAGCTGTGAACAAGTTAGCAGTGAACAAATGCACACAAGCAAGTGTCTGTCAAGGCCCTGAAGAAAACAGTGCACTGTCATACACTGTGTCGACACTGTGCAGGCACTGTGTTTTCACTCCCTTCCAAGGAAATTCGACACGTAATCTGGGCCCACATCAGGCTATCTATATGGCTCACGCATGGCCTATTTTGGGATCTTCATGTTATCAGGGCTATCCAAATTTATGTCCTTCATTGCCTCAGCCTGGTGTGGCTGCACCTTTATCCCTGCCAACAGCAGACAGACACTCAGAGTTACTTCACTGATGACAAGCAGTGGCGATAGTGAGTAGCATCCGGTTCCATGGTGTGCAGAATTGTGCCCAAGGGCTTTGCTTGATTTTGCACTCCTCACCCCCCCTGACCACCCAACTGGTGTGCAGATGCACAGGACTACCCCTGCAAATGAGTCCATGCCTGTAAGATTTGTGAAAAGCATGGCAGGCAGCATCCACTAATATGTGTCTCGCAATACATCCAATGACAGAGCACAGTAAGGGTTTTGAAGGGGTCCACTTCAGAAGAAGTGTGCATATAACAACTCTATCGCAACAGGTACACACAGATGTACAGTTCGTCCAGTGTGTCCAAAACTCTGCAAACAGAAATCCAAAGGAATTGCTGTCAAATTGTTAAACGACACTCCCTTCCTGGGACTCACTGAAGCTGCCACGGTCGTTAAGTGCTGCCTGCACCACGAAATCCTGCAGGCAGTTGGCAGCGTCTCTTGCATCTTCCAGGCGCTTCTGCACATCGGAGTCATCCACAAGATGGCGAGCAGCCTGCTTCACACATGCAGTGACTCTCACAAACAACAGCCATCCTGTGTTGGCAACAGTTGTCAGAGCACACAACAAGCACTGCCCTGGCAGTAAGAGGATTGCGCCTGTCAGGCATGTGAATAGGCCATATGTGGTCTTGACCGATGGTATTTCAATTCCCCACCAATAGGTGTTGCAAAATTGATAGACTTCCCCCCCACCCCACCGGGTGAAGTTTATGAGCAATAAAATCTCTGATCGGAGCTGTACACACAAGGAGACGAACACTGCCATCATTCTTGCAGTCAACATAAGCGGCTCTGCAAAGCAGGCCCACCCTCCTGGAATGCTGGGTGCAGTAGACAAACACATTCCAGGTTGCCAAGCACCCCACCACTGTACCCAAAAGCAGCTGCCATGTTTGGCATGATTTGATTGCACTGAAGTGCATGGCACTTAACAGCATTGACACACATATGACAATGCACACTTTCACACAAAAATTTCGCTGCATGGGTCACATCTGCGTGCCCGCAAGTTCTGGTTCTGAAGGTTTGAGAGCAAATCTTGGCCGAACACTGCAATTTGGTCAAAATGTGCTCTATTTTGTATTGGTGCAGCCTGGCGAACATTGCCATGCTTACAGAAACAGCACAGCAGCATAATCTCCGTCTGCCATATTCTGCCACATGCCAGCACATCGAAGGAGAAAGTCAATTCAGCCAATGCCATGCCACAGCATCGCTTGGCACATCTTCCCATACTTGTTGTAGTCCCATCAGGACAATAAATTCTGAGAGTAACAGCACACAGCCTGTTCCGAATGTCCATGCCATGGCATGTACAGAATCTCCACAGCATTCCTGTTTCAACAACTGGCATGCAGCTCGTTCATGGTGCAACAGCATGCAACACAGTACCCACCTCGAATCGAGCGCGGATTTCATCATGTGCCTTTGCTTGAGCAAAACCATCGCCCTTGAATGCTGCACAAACCACAGTGGCAAGGCATCAGCCCCTTCCTCGTATTTCTGGGTGTGTTTATGCTTGGAATGCATCTGTGTTGCAGTTCAGTCAACTGCAGCCAACAATCCAAATGGTCACTGCAAAGGTTGTAGTCCTGTCAATTCTAACCCTTCTGGAGGGGCTCAAAGCTGGTGTGGGTGCAGCCATTGTTTGAGCGCAACATTGCAATCAATTAATCAGATTCCAATTGTGCATCAAGATTCTGGTTGCACAGTGCCACAACAACAGCCACAGAGCCTCCAGTGGCATGGACACGACAAACCACATATGCCACTTGCAGCAAATGCTCCTATCTATACCAGCAACTCCAGAAAGAAGCAACCAACAATTGCAACCAAAACAAGTGTGCATCATGCAGAGCCAGTATGATTGGGCCTGAAGAGGGGCACACTGGCATCTACAGTTACCCAACTCAGCTAATGTTTCTGAGGTTGTTGATCTACTTGGCACAGGACACAGGCACAACATTTACTACCTGTGATGCCCCAGGTAGTCTGATAAACAGTGACAACACATTGGTGCCCCAATCAGGGATAGCCTTTGTACTGCATCTTTCCTTTATGGTATGATACTGGGGTCCTTTGTACAAGTTGTTACGTGATTTGCCACCATCGCACCATTCCTGGGACGTGCGTGCCAGGAAAGCACAGTTACTGTCACTGTGTGGAAATGTGGATTGCATTTCAGGCTCAGTGAATTTGACGTCCCCAGAAAAAGCCGATGAAACTAACCTGACACAAGAGGGGCAAATCATGTGCAGGCACCTTTCCAGTCATATCAACGTACAAGACAAGACACTGTGCTCCAAGGGTGCATGCTGCCCGAAGATCCCTCAGAGAGCCCCCGGAAGGATCCAGCGAAATATCACTTGGCACAAGATGATCACAACAATAGAGAATCCCTATTTTCAGCCGCTTCTATAACCCAACGGCATGTGCTGTACCAACGTGGGGCCAAATCAAACGTGTGGTGGTTCAGGGCACACAAGTAGTTGATTGTGCAATCGATGCAAAGTGGCAATTCGAGAGGTGGGTTTGATGCAATGGAAACCTGTCAATACATGGCGGCCACAGGTGCCACATGTGCTCTCTCCCACTCGGCAGTGGCCATTGACGGCGAGAGGAATAAGTTGATTGGCATTTGTTGCCATGTCCAGCATGCAATGTCCAGAATTGGTGGGCCAAAAGCACTAGGAAGGAGAGTGGTCAGGCAGCAGATTCCTATTCAGCAACCAGGGACTCCACTTTCATCCAGATATTTGAAAAGTAGTTTCAGACTGCAGATCATGGCGCTTGGCGCGTTATAAGACCTTGAAGCCAAGGGCACCACGATGGGAATCTTTAGTGAACACCTCGAGTGACCCGTGACAGGTAGCGCAAAGCGCGTTTTCATCCAAACTTGGAAAAATCAATCAGAAAGGCTTGCAAGGGGCACTAACGGCCAACAAGGGGACGCATGCGTTCTTTGCTTTGGGAGAGTTCACAACGACATGCAGGAGCTGTCGACTTCACAAAGTGCAGATTTTGGTGGAAGCGAACGCAACACACGAGACGTGGAGTAGCTTGGAAGGGTGAAACAGAGTCACCGATAGGTGATGGATGGGGTGAAATGGCCGAAACTTCAGCCTCCAATAAGAACGGAGTGCCTTTCTTGCATCCCTCAAGAATAAAGTGTCACTGTCTGGGCATGATGCTCACTTGATCGGACCACGCGCAGCAGATGCCGATAGGCGGCGACTCCGGCGCTCATCGCACGTTGGGCCACGGGCCAGGCAGCGAACAGGTGCAGCCGGTGGCACCTCGCCGAATTGGTGGTGTCCTCATGTGCCAAGCGGGTCCTGCAGTTGCAGTTTGGGGACCCAGTTTCTTTGGTCGCTGTACGGCACCGCACCTCAGCATCAGACGTACGGTACCGTATACGGGTGTCGAAAGTAAGACTCGGTAAATGATGAACTGATTGAATTGATTTCAATAGATTGTGAACAGTACTTTGAAGCGCTTTGCTGACAAACAGTACCCAATGTCCCTGCAATCAATGAGAGAATGTTGTAGCATTCTGGAGATCCATGAACGTGTACAATCGAGTCATGTCTGGGTGACATTGGTTCTTTGTCACGTCTCCCGGACACAATCGTTCCGTGAAATTGTCATTTGTACCAATAAAGATGGGTTGAGTCAGCTCTGGCACACCCAGGAGCTGTTGAATCTTATACTCACTGTCAATCGTGTTTTCCCTATGCTCAGTGTGGGACAAGCTTCAAAGAAATGGGGCATGACTGTGACTGTGTGGCACGGCACCATGAACTTGTCAGCTGACTAGTGTAAAGTACTGCACTACAGGGACATGGACAACCGCTAAGGATTCCTAAAAAGTGATCAAAGATGATGCAACCAAAATGTTTCTTGCAAAGAGTGGATTTTCTCCACACAAAGACGTTTCGGGAGGCACCACCCTGTTTGGCTGACATCATCAAGACGTTAAACGTCTCAAAATTTGAGTCGATATGGAAAGACAGAACTTTTTCCCTAGCTGAGCCTCTAAGGCTCGAGAAATCTATGGTTAGTGGAGCGCGTACGGCAGCTGCGCATCATGCAAGCAGCATGTGCATCTCTGAGTTTCTGATGCGAATCATCTTTGAGAATGTCAATTGCTGCCAAAAGGCTCAATGAATCTGTGTGAATGAATGGTCTTAGACAGATGCCTGAGAAAGGAGAATAGATAGACGCTTTGAACCCAGTTCCAACTGCACAGTCTGTCAGCATGGCCCTGGAAAGGGCGTTGCTTTGAACTTCCTCCTGGCGTGTGTTTATGGCTGGTTGAAAGACGATCCTCATATCTGCAATCGTAACGAATTTTTGATAACGAAATTAGCTCCTTTCAATGACAAGTACATGATTATGAGGAAAGCCTCAATGCAATTGACAGGGAAAGAAGTTTCATAGACTAAAGCAATGATCTTCACTTTCGTCATGAAGAGTACCACATTGAGCGGAGTCAACAAAATGGTTTTATTATGCTGGTCGAAGTGGGGACAATGCACGCCTTGTTTAGTTGCTCATACATGTCCCTTGGCAGGGGGCACCTTTTAATTGACCATCAAGCAGCCATTCCACCATTATGGAAACTCTTCAGATTTTGTGAGAGTAGGTATGGAACATTAGCTAAGGGATAGTCACGAAAATTTGTGATGCCTGGGGAAGCTCTCTATTGCCTGCGCAGGGATTCCTTTGGGCCGAAGCGGGCATGCCATAGTTGCAGTGCAGCCAATTGAAGGAGGACATCAAGCTCAGCACAAATGCTGCCATGTCCTGTAGTTGTCCGACAGGTGTCTTGCAGCTGTAAGACCCGTTTGGTGGGCTTCTGGGCATCAGAGGGGGATTATCGCAAGTTTGCAGGATTTGCGAATCCTACCTCAAGTCCATTTGAGAGTCGGCATGCCCTCTTGCCAGGCCGCGATAACCAAGGATGTTGTGTAGTGTCCGCTCTGGCCCTGATCCGTGCATTCTTGCTACTCTTGTCACAGCGCTCTGTCACGCACCCGAAGCCCTTGATGGCCGTCGGAGGATTGTCCGCTGCTTGCAAGCAGCGCGCCGAATACTCTTCGCCCAGGCGGGTGTTGGAGAAGCTGCAGGGACAGGGATAAGAATAGCGCAGTCCGCAGCACTGTGGATTGTCAGAGCTAGCGTGGCAGAGGTGGCAGAAGGAAAGATTGGGCCCCAGCAAACAGGACAAGAGACAAGAGATAAGCGGGTGGCGGACCACGGTGGAGAGGGGCAGACGGCTCTGTTGCTCTAACGTGCCAACCTTTTTGCCAAGAAGGTACCGTGCGCACATGTGGTGCAGCGCGGCAATGTTGGCCAGGAGCTGGATGACCTGAGCGACGCCGATTTTGAGAAAGTGCAAAATTGCGATTGGAGCAAAAGGTCGTGCTAGACACACAAGAAGCTTGTGAGCAAGTAGCTGGTAATGAAATTAGCATCACTGTGGCATAAATTGAACTACCAGAGCAGCTGAGGCGCCCTTTGCGAGCTGCTCTGGTAGTTCAACGCGTGGACACAGCAAGACAGAAGAGCAGGAGGCCGCTAAGGTGGTCAGCGTCGCAAGTCCCTGGCGATGTGATCCTGGTGGAAAGGCAAAAAATGGAAGTGGCCGATGGTGATGATTCCGAAGGAGAGAGTGCGAACCGCCGTTTAATGCGAATTCGGCGAAATCGAAGATCATTGCTTCTGAATGTGAACCTATTCCTCTTCATTTCTGATCACTGGCTGCTGGATCGTGGCCCCACCGGATATGTCGAAAATGTGGAGTGGTTTGTTCGCGGAGGTTGCGACTCGCGTCTTTGCTATGTCGGCAAAGGGACTAAGCCTCCGGACCCGAGAAGTCGAGTTGTTCGCCCGCAGACAAGGCTGGGTGCTAGGCAGAATCAACAAGGATCCAGTGGTCAGAAAGGGTTCATGGGCTCAGATATACCTTTGAACATAGCAAATCTGCGGGGTTTGCTCCACAGCGCATTGCGGTGGCTGTTTCATAGAAATCTCCTTTGGATGTACCGTCTCGGTGGGCGCCCTGTATCTCGATCGTTCGTTGCAGCTCTGGTTTGAGAACTCAGGATCGCAGTGCCGCGGATCCATACGCTTATGCAAGTTGATCACCAATGGGGCGATTCAGCGAATGTGGATTGGCACAATCCTAGGACCGCCTGGCCACATGCAGAGGAGCGCTGTGCCTAGAATGAACATGCGTTCTAGATAACTCCCGCGCAAAATGACAACAAGGCGTTCCCGACGAGTTTGTGCGCCAGATTCTAGTTTCAGGGAGTTTTCAATGCTTTCCTTTGTGTGCCGGGTGCGCGTTTCAAAGCCGAGGGCATTTGCGCGCCCAACCCGTCTTTCGCAGCATTTTTCAACAGAATCCTTTTGCGCACTGAACTCAAAGTTCGTGGCAAAACAGCCGACAAATTTTTCCACCAGATGCGCCTGCCGTTGGAGTTTTGCAAGCAGGGTTTTACAAACAGGGTCTTGTTGGTGCGTGGCCCTCGTACAAACACTCTTTGCCATTGCTCTATTTTTTCTCTTGCTTTTGGCTTCTTACCTCAATTTTTTTGTTTTCTTTCCTATGCTTGTACGAGTTGCACGTATAATGCTCTTCTGTCATTGCCGCGCACAGCTCATCCCCTCACCTGGATTTTCCACTTTGCGACAAAAATTGCTCTGCACTCCATTTCTTGGCTTTGGCACTTTCTGCCAAGCTCCTTTTATGCTCCATTTCCTCATTTCGGCAAGTGGTCCAACTCCTTATGGGCCTTGTTTGCTCGCCGTATGCAGCAAACACCGTTTTTCAAGGACATTCTTTGTGCACGTGATATCGCTTCTGCTGTCCCCTACTGTCATTTTGCAGGGGAGCTGGCTCAGAACCCGAGGCCACGACAGCGGCTTGAGGACAGGGGAAGAACCGGACAACGTGCGCCGATGGCATGGGACTCAGCATGTGAGATCGTGACTGCGAGGCCCCTATTCTGGGTGGCACCCATTGCGCGCGTGCACGATGGTGACGACATGTGCTGTGTGCTGGCCGCTGGATCCGCAGATCTGGGGAATGCGCTACGGCCAGTGGTGAACCTCTACTGGAATGGTGCGCACAGAACGAGCACCCTTTGGCGTCTGGGGGGTCAGGGAAGCCAGCGGAGTGCCGGGACAGTTTCGGAGACAACACAGGGTTCAGTGGCAATGAGATGTGATCAACCTGGAGCATGTGCACAATTGGGGCAATTGGGTCGGGGGCAGCTGCAAAATTGTTAGCGGACTTGCAATGCAAGTTCGATGAAGTGCTGGATATGCGCCCGAGTCGATCACAAAGTCCTAATTGCGTTTTGCCCACAGCGACAGGGACCCCACCCAAACCTTCGTCTTTTGTCGGCTGGGCATTACCAAAAATCAATCAACCACTGGCAACAAACAAGAACAGAACAACTTTGATTCCAGGTCCATGGGTTGAAAGGCAAAGGCGTTTCGGCATTGCAAGAAGTCACTGAGAACAGGGATTCGAAGACTAATACTGGTGCCAAAAGCCAAGGTGATCATGAAAGGGTGTGATGAGGGACGAATACTAGGAAAGACGTAAGTGCCATGAGTACTCGTAAGCAGGGACATGTTTTTATTGACATTCTCAGAAGATCACGCAGGGTCTTGTCGACAATCCCGTTGCCATAACTGTCAGGGTGTTTTCTCCTGGTGGCAGTGCAAAAAACTGAACAAACCTAAAAGCGACAATTAGAACTGCCGATTTCGACCAAAAGCCACATTGAGGGGAGGGGCAATGCAGCCAGCAGATGTTTGACCGATGAAAGTACCAGGAAGAAAAAGAGTTGATGTCTGTAATAAGTGATACCAGCGTGACTTTCCCACATTTAATGCCGAATTGAAGGGGGACGTCGACGTCATGCTATGACCTAGGGGTTCATGGATACGGATCAATGACACCGATAAATTATCCAAGTGTCCCGAAACGTGTCACAAGCCAAGAAGCCCCAAATGCCCCTAATTATTCTGCAGAATTCACAATCAACCATCATAATTGAAAAATACACCGAGGCTCTCACACACGGTCCCCCCCCCAGGCGCAGGAACCAATGCCGTAACCAGATGCGTTACCAGACAAGCACACCAATCAAAATAGCACCTGCAGTAAAATGTTCTCAGTTACTAATCATCGCATCTCATCTTCACCGTATTTTAGCACCGTGTTTCCCGCGTCCAGCCACACCATATTCAGCACCCATTTTCTTCATAATTGCTAATTTGCTTGCCCTCCCAATCATCAAATCATTATTACATAACCAGGCTAGGAGGTACCCGTCTATGGAATTCCCTAAGAGGCTCGATATGCACCTGAGAAACATTGCTGAAAGGGGAAACAGCTCGCATTCTGGAATCTCTAGAAACAATGCAGCGGCGGCAACAGGCACACCAGCCCTGTTGTTGACCGACAGCATCTGATGACTTGGACCATTATCTCTGATTACATGGGATTTACGCTGCTGCAATAACTAAAGTTTCAATGAACAACCAACGTCACAGCTGTTCTAGAGCAGAATAGGGCGCTGGCGGCCAGCTCCTTGCCTTGATATGTAACATTTCTTGACTAATTTCCTGGGAGACCCATCGTCGATTCCACCCATCGACATAGGGACTGACAGTGAGGACGGGGAAGGATGATGTCTCAGCCTAGTATCAAGCACGTTGAGAGCGGCTCAATCACCCCCAGTCAACGCTAAAAAGATGAAACAGGGAACAAATCGACAAACTGTGCTGACAATTACAAATTTTTACCTCCCAACATATCATCGCAAAAATGACCCCAGTGCAGCTGATGGTCACGCAACCAACTAGAAACACTGCGCACCATCCTGCTGATATCGCGAACTCATGGCATGCCATGAATGCAGCCCATTACCCGAAATGTGTGTGCTGAAATGCAGCACAAGCTTGTGCAGCTTCAAATGCCATCTGTTGTCGTCTGCCAATCCCTGTAGGCCCTCTTCTGACATCATGTGTGTGTGTCCGACATTTCCTGCAGCCACTGGCGAGCCTCCTGAGCCGTGGGCCGGTCGTCACTGCTCAAGCTCACACAATCAAACACCAACTGCTTCAAAGGTTCCGGGCATGGCCTAGATATGGTGAATCGTTCCTCTATCGCGCTGGATTTCCCTGTCGACCCTGATCCATTGTCCAATAGATCGTATGGTGGCTTGGCTTCGATCATCTCCCAGATTATCACTCCGAGGCCATATATGTCAATCTTCTCATTTATATCCACATTGATAAAGTTTGAGACCATAACTTCCGGAGCCATGTATCCTGCAAAACGAAGTCAAGTACACCACAATCAAAAGATAGATTTCCTTCCCGTGCAGCACTTGTGAATACACGACATACACATCATTCTCCATTGGCAGCTCCCCGAATTGTCATTTTCAGGAATGGAAAAATACAAGGACATCCAAAGCACATCCAGTTGAGAAGATTTGAGGCTCGTTGATACTTGGGCCCTGAGGAGTCGATAATTATCAACTTTGAGATATTGTTTTGAGAGTTGTCCAGCAAATCGTACTGGCCCTAAAGAGGGTCATGGAGACCATCAAAGCTGATTGCACAAGTACGACATCACCTCCAGATGCATGCAGAATTTGAAGCGGCCCTTTTCCATATCGTGGAGACAGCATAAGACAACACTGAGCTTCTGCAACGGGCGTGGGTGTACATGGCGTACGCCCATTGCGTTGGCCGCCAACGAAACGGCTGCATAATGCAATTCCAAAACGGAAATATAAACAACTGCTTGATGCTCGGTTTTCCAAAATAAGAGTAAGCGCGTGTTACACGCTTACAATTTGGAAATGGAAAAAACAAAGTGTCCAACTCATCCAAGTTTCTCAAATAAGAACGCGAAGTTGTGCCCCACATTTGAGTCGTGAAATTGTAACCGCATATCCAGGAGAAAAAGCCACAGTAGCTGAACCCAATTGTTGCCTCCCACTCCCACGGCATTAGCCCCTCGCAGGCACCAATTGCAGCCTCCCCTAAGCCCTTGATTGGCACCCACAGGTGGCCACAGCCAGCGCCCTCATAGTGCCCAACGCGTTGTTGGAAATGGGTACCGTGCGGCCCACAAGGTGTGCTTGCAGATTACAAAAATCAGGATGCAGCGATTGCAGCAGGCAATCACCATCTCCCTCACTCATGGCCATGATACCTTGCACCCACTTCTGGGATCTTAGACTTTAGTTCGCCTCTGGATGTCCAGCATCCCATACAAATGACAGCTGAGCAGAAGGCAACTCAGCCAATGCATCAAATCTGAAGCCGTTAGAACAACAGTGAAGCAGGAAAAATCCTCTGAAATATAGCACATCAGCAAATTTTTGTGGAGCAGGCTTTTGCACTTCTGCTGCAACATGTGAAGGCCTGTCATATGTTTGGCCTCTTGGAATGGCAAAGTCAGCTGACTGAACGTGCTTGAACTTTCAATACGCAAATGTGAACTTGGGCGGCGTGTTTGGATTCAATACCAGAAACATAAACTTCTACCTTATGTTTCAATTTTCAGAACATGAATGCAGACTCACGAGTCACCATCTGTTGATGCTGCCTCCAAACGAAACGCAAACGTAAAGGGCGTTTTCGTCTGTGCCCACATCTGTTCTGCAACAGAAATGTTGCACATAGCAATGGCAAACCCGTACTCACCAAAGGTTCCATGCATGCTGCCTGTGATGTAACTCCCAGTCTTCACCTTGGAGATACCAAAGTCTGATATCTTGGCAACCTCCAACTTATTACCCACAAGGATGTTGGCGGGCTTCAGGTCATAGTGGATCACAGAGCACTTGTGCAGGTGCTCAAGCCCACTTGCAATGTCCAAGGCAAACTTAAGAATCAACTTGATGGGGATTTTTCCGTCAAAGAGGTCTCCATAAATCATCTCACGCAGGCTCGAACGCATCAATTCCTCAACAATGTAGACATCCCGATCGCCGATGCACTTGTCCTCTTTGAAATCCACTCGGCCACCATAGCAGCAGACAATGTTGGGGTGCATGGGAAGCCTTTGAGAGATTTTGAGCTCCGAGCGACAGATTTCCGCGACTTCCCGTGCTGTTTTTGTGTTGAAGAGATCTGTGAAATACCTCACGGCCACTTGCACGATCTCCCCTTGTTCATCAGTGAATGAGCCGAGCTCCACAGTGCCAAATGTATCCTGTCTGATGATAGTTGGCGTGTTGGAAACAGGGTGAATTCGAATGTCGTAATTGAGACCCCGCACATCTTCTTGGAATTCATCATCAACGCTGTCTGTGAGTGTGGCAGCCTGCCAGCAGCACACTGTCCATTTGCTCACAGAGAATTTTACACACAGAGAATTTTACATAGTGTTGTTCTCAATGTAGTAAGCTGTGTATGGTATTCCACTGCATCATTGTGGCATTATCACTATCATCGAAGATGAATTGAAAGACAGCTGAGCTGTCTGTATATCAGGACCACTGAGTGTTTCTTTTCAATAACGAGGGCAAATGAAGATAAATAGTGTCCACAATGAAATAATAAACCATGGCAGCGTACTCAACTCATGGACAAAAACCTCGCTGCCTCTGCTGCTTGCATTGCTGAAATACCCTAATTGAAGTGACAAAGAGCCCACACAAACAATGATACAGCCCCTGCAGTGCTGCACCCAAGGCAATGCGCATTGTGTTTGTTACACTCGTTTTAGCTTCTTGCACAACTTCCCTTTGCTGTGTGATGATTCCCCTCTAGTGGATTTCTTAATGTGGGCCGTCTACTGCTTGTTTCTTGCTTGCCAGTGTCAATCTTCATCAAAATGCACTTTGACTGCCATACTTTGTTTAATGGAGCATACTGATTTCCTATAATCCTCTACATAAACTACAGGCTTGGCATCAATTCAGCAATGTAATCCCTGACCAGACACTGACTGAACCATTTCATTGGGAGGGTCTGTATTACAGACTCTGTAAAGCACCTGCTAATGACAAGCAATTGCTGTGGTGCCTGCAATTGTATTTTACTGCTCCCAGTCGCTTGCCAACTGATTGCTTTGCTGTCGAAGCACCAGGAACTTGCTGGTCACTGTGCTTCACAGACGCAGCAACTGCTACACCAATCCTGCTAACCTTATTGCAATTTTCTGTATAACACAGCATCATCGACAACTGCCAACACATACTGAACTAGGATGAACTACACCAAACCAATACATTCACTGATGTTCGGGGGCAACATAGTCACCACCAATTTGTAGGGCAGGCGACAGAGTGTTCTGTTCCAGTCAACCCAGACATCTCTTTGTGTTTTTGCAATGTCCCCTCAATGCAAAGCACATTGTGGCTTTCACCACGGGTACTGGCCTTTCCCCAGCGAGCCACCTCATACTAATGTTGGAATTGTACACAGTTTCTCACCACAGCTGGCACCATACCACCCAGACATGGATGTTGTTTAGGCAGAATGGAAGCTGTGGCAGCAAGATTGGGTTCAGTGTGGGCCTCAAGGATTCAATGCTGAGGATAGGGTTAGTGCTGTTCACTGCATTGATTGGAGGCTGTGTGCTGGTAAGGCTGCAACAGCAAGGGCGATCTTGCTGGTTGCATCAATACTCCCAGGCACCAGCATGTTTGCCTCTTGGCAGTAAAAATCGTTTCGATTGTCAACACACAAGTCCAATTTTGAAATGCGATTTTCCACATTCCCAGTAGCCATCAAATCTTGGGAAGGCAGTTGAAGCACCATCCAGGTTTGCTTTGCGACACAGTCCCAAAATATGGTTGGCTTGCACATAGGTTCTTCTTTATCATGTTGGGTTACTTGCTAGTGTTATGATCTCCACTAAGGGGGAGACTGCATGCTGCAGTGTTCAATTGATGGCCTTCAGCACACCATGAACTTGTGCTGTGCACTGCAGGCTATTCGCACAGATGACAATCTGCCAATCTTAACCCCGACACAGCTATTGTACCCTATCCAATGGTAAACTAATCTTGTTGGCTGTCCCAAAGCATAGACAGCTGTTTGGAGGGCCATACACCAGAATATCTGCAGGGGGCAGCACAATGCTGCAGGATGTACTGGTTACCTGCGATTCGGGTGCTCATACATTCTTCTGCATGGAATTATCTGACCTGGCAATGGCTGTTTCTTAATACTACATAAGGGAGCTTGATCAGTGTTTGCTGTAGGTAAGACCAACTCGGCATCACAAGCCTGCAGCACATGGGCATCACAAGCCAATGTGACTACAAAAAAAATCGTTGGCAATACTTGCACATCCACTGGTGACTGAACATATCTGTTTGCTGTCAATGCCAATGCAAAACCATGAATGCAAGGGGCAGGCCATAGTCAAGTGAGTTGTATGTTGAGTACTGTGATGCACAATGCACAACAGTTGTCAGCGGAAGGAACAGCATGTTGATGCACAGTTGCTCTCCAAAATTTACAGCTCACCTTTGTCACTCGGGTCACCCCAACTGACCCCACTTGGGTCACCCCTGGTGGGCCATCAGAAAAATCAACTTCCACCTGGACGTGCCCACAAACAGTGTCAGGGCAAATAACGGTGTCTCCAAAAATGTAGATGATGAGAAAAGCAATTCAACTGCTGTAGATGTTGACTGTGCTATGCATGCAGTTTGAGTTGTTACCTTGTCAACAATCCACTGCGCTAGGAAGGTCATGTCCTGCAGCTTCTTGCGAACCTCGTGCACTGCTGGTCGTGTGCTTACATCCATGCTCACACAATCATGCACAAGCTGCACCAAACATTCAGGGCATGGCCTTGTAATGGAGAATCCTTGGACCCCAGATGACTCAGCAGATCCCAGCTGTTCCATGGCCTGATCATCAAGCTTCCCTTGCAACATCTCCCAGAGCACGACTCCCAGGGAGTACACACAACTCTTCTCGTTGATCATGTAACGTTTTGTTATATAGGACAGCAGCACTTCTGGAGCAATGAACTTCCGGAGCACTTCCGAACCAAGGCATCCTGCAGGCAATATTAAACACATTTTGTGAATTGCACACTCAAGTGTATCCAGTTCATGTCAGTGATGGAATATAGGATGCACTCTTGGAGACTGACATTCTCCACGGGTGGCTCCTCCATCCACCATTATCAGGCTGCTGAGGCATTGTTTTGATCGGAACGCAGATTCTGCTAGATGAAAGCTGAGATTCAATGCGACTGGACTAGAGGCGTTCAATAGAAGATCCTGTTGCCATGTATGGTCATTTAATGCCATTGACAGAACACAGTGACAAGCACATAGCTCACACATACTGTGTTTCCAGAGGCTGCGGTTGCGCTTGCAAGTATTTGTGAGCAAGCATAAGATGATGTACACCACAATGGATGTCTACAACATTTGTACATTTCCCTTCACAGGACAAAATGGAACCCTTTGCCTCGCTGGCAAACACAGGAATGTACACATCCCAAGGTTTTGTTCTCCTTGTTCATTCACTTGCTCATATCTCTCCTCATCACCTATCTGCACTGCAGGTTCATAGAATGGCTGAGCTCCCAATGGTAAAAGCACTGCCATACTCACCAGCCTTCCCCCCCAAGGCATCTGTGATGCAGCTCTCAACATTCACTTGCGAGGCACCGAAGTCTGAGATCTTGGCATTGCGCAAGCTATCATCCAAGTAGATGTTTGCAGTGTTCAAGTTGTAATGCATCACAGAGTACTCTTGCAGGTGCTCAAGCCCACTTGCGATGTCCAGTGCAAGCTTGATAATCAAATTACAGGGGATATTTCCATCAAACTGGTCTCCATGAATGATGGCCTCCAAAGTGTTATGCATCAATTCTTGAACAATATATACATCGCGGGCGTCAATGTGGTCTCCCTCTTTGAAATCCACCCGGCCACCATAGCAGCAAACTATGTGTGGGTGTGTAGGGACTTTGTGCAGGATTTCCAGCTCCGAGCGAAAAATTCTCACCACTTCCTGTGGTGCCCTGGTGGCAAAGAGACCTGTGCCATACTTTACGGCTACTGGCACAGTGTCCCCGTGCTCATCGGTGAAAGAACCGACCTCCACAGGGCCAAAAGTGCTTTGCACGATTACTGTAGGGTCATGGGAAACTGAGTGAATTCGGATGTCAAATTTGTTGCATTGAGGTTGCATTCGTTGCATTTGCAATTCCTTGCAGGCACTGTGTGGTGGCTCCTGTCAGCAGAGCACAACACAGTCATAACTATACACTTCTGCTTCGATTGCAGCTTCAGGGCCAACCAAAATTGCTTGCCTATGACCATAGGCAAAACCCACATGGTGATTGCATAGATCACGGCGCAAGCCCTGTTGGGCATTGGGAGACATAGCATACATTGTATTTGCTGCAATAACTGCATACATGCATATCTCGGAATGGCCCAGCCAACAATGACGATGGTACCTGCTGTCATGACGACTACAGCGCTATCAACTGTTTTCAAGTCGACACTCATGCTGTCCCTCCTGCACAGCTATGCACTCAGCTTTTCTTGCTGTGACTACTTATCCAGGTGCGCACTGATAGTGTTGAGTCTGCCGGCATGGCTTTCTGCCAGTCATGTCCAAGTACCTTCATCCTTTCAGTTTGAGTGTGCTAAGTTGATGCCTGCAGTGGTTTCCCCAAAGGGATGGGCCATTTGTCATGGCTTGTGCATTGCACATCAATGCTCATTGCTAAACTCAGTGCTGTTTTCTCATTGCCAATCGCCATTGAGGCAGCCAAACGCTCGTCCTCATGTTAGACCCTGACACTGCATCATTGAGTGCTGCCCTCATGTAGGACCCTGAAACTGCATCATTGAGTGCCGCCCTCATGTAAGACCCTGACACCGCATCATTGAGTGCTGCCTTCATGCAAGACCCTGACACTGCATCGTGAGTGCATGCTGTGTGTTTCCCTTGTTCTTTGAGGTGCAGAGCAGGAACATAGCGGCTTCCATTATTCTAAAGAGTGTGAACTGACCACACTGCCCATGTGCACACAAATGATCCACATGTACTTCACCAGCATGCCAAAGATAACTGTCTGCACATTGATGAGTACATTACGAGTTTTGTATGCTCAGGTGCATGCATCTCTTATCTTGCAGTTGATACACATCTGCTGGTGCTTAGGAAGACAACAGAAGCGTACTTTGGAGTAGCTGTATTGTAAGATGGTGCAATCATATTGGCAAACTCAGTAACCAGCATAAAAGTCAGTATTCCCAAAACCAGAACAGAGCTGGTGAATATCTTCCCAGTGCAATAGCTGATGTACACATTCCCTGTGTGAAGGTGCTCACCCTCCCTGGAAGCGTGCCTAGCCAGGGGCAATGGGCTCAGAATGCTGGCCAAGAATTCTGCCTTGCCCAGGCATGTACTTGGATCCAGTACTGGCACTTCCAGGTAAGTCGGGTCCCCACCAGTGCCTGTCTGTGCCTGGCACATTGGTCTGTGGATCCCCAGGTAGCAGAGGGGAAAGAAAATTTCTGTGCTGCATCTGGGTTCCATCACTAGTTCCTTGCACACAATCCAACTTGACAGTTGCCGCACAGGAAAGAACAGATGTGCCCTCCCTGGACAGTTTCAGAAGCCTCAGTTTGACCATCAATCACCAGTGCTTTCATGGTGCTGCCATAGCAATTTGTCAGCAGCACTGACCACTTGGTGTGGGCAAGAGCGTGAGCACATTCTCTTGCAGGATTTGGCAGAAGCCAAAAGTTTCAAGCACTGTCACATATTGAACGCTTTCGAAAATTTTAGAAAATTTCAGCATTATGCTTTGTGCCCCGCCATTTCTTTTCTTAGAGTGTAATTTTTTTTACTTTGCTCCGCACAGAAAAGCCAATATTTGCATTGCTATTTATATTATTTTCTCTGCCAAAAAGGGCCAAGCGTTGCATTACTATGCAGAAGGGTTTAACAACTTACGGTAATAGCATCTTACCACTTTCTGGATCTCGCTTGAGGGCCTCCAATCCTTGGGCAGCCCTTCCAGGCGACTGCACACCTCATCCATCGCTGGCCGTTGCTTCGGGTCATAGGCACAGCAGTCTCTCATCAGTTCTAGTAGACCTTCAGGACATTCTTGTGGATCCACATGGCAGGGTTCCTCACGATTGAGCTTTTTATTCATGACAACTGGCTGGACCAAGCGCCGGTCTGTGAGGCCCACCCCATAGGGGTGCTGTCCCGTTACGAGCTCATAGATGACCACACCAAAGCTGAAGACGTCAGAGGCTGGCGTCACCGGCTTGCCATAGTAGATCTCAGGTGCAAACCACTCAGGTGTGCCCCCCCCCAGCCTAACGGTCTTGCTTCTGGCATCCGCCACCTCAAAGGCCAAGCCAAAGTCTGTGATCTTCACAGTGAAGGTCTCTGGGTCTGTCCCGAAGATCAGGAAATTGGAGCTCTTCACGTCCGAGTGCACAAGGACAGGGTCTTGGCTGTGAACATAGTGGAGAGCAGAGGCAGCCTGCAAGAGAAGTCTCAACTGCACAGGCCAAGAAAGGAAGCCCTTCTTTTGGCACAAAGTTTTCAAGTCAGTGGTAGCAAGCTCCATCACAAGGAACCCCGATGGGGTAGCGGCATGCAAACTGACGATGTTCGGATGCCTCAATTTTGCATGCAAGGCAGCCTCCTTGGTGAGTCCAGCAAAGTCCTCTATGGACAGGGGGGAGTAACCCACAGGTTTCTTCACGGCCACCTTTGCAGCCTTCCATGTAGCCTCGTGAACAGTGCCCTGGCCGCCTTCGCCAAGCTTTTGCCCAATGCACAGCTCTGATTCATTGATTACCTGCAGAAACCTCAACCTCTCTTTGTTTCGGAGCTTTATCTCCTCCCAAAGCTGCCCATGCTGGGATTTTGGGCTTGAACTGTCCTCCTTGAGGATGTAAGCAAGCAATCCATGCAAGTGTCGTTTGTCCACATCCACACACTCCTGCGGAATTGTGTCTTCAATGCCAGCACCAATCTGTAGTCCCCACTCCTGAGCTGTTCCCTTGAGGATTTGGCAGATTTGTTCAACAGCCCTCTGTGCGTCCTCGATCTTATAAAAATTCGTTATGTCAAAGGGCTCAGTGTGCTTTGTGAGGAGTCTCCTTGCCTGTCCCAGCATCAAGGAGAAAGTCTCCAGTTCCTCAGAAGATGCATTCGGTGGCACCTCCAGGTCCTGCACCTTGTCCAATTGGACTCTGAGGAAGGCCATCATTCTGTGGTTGTACTCTTGTTTTGGCACATCCTGCCCCATCTGTTCAATACAAACATCCAGTAAGTCCACTCTTCAACACAATGGCAAAATTGAGTTTCTGCAAGTCCAAATGTGTGCTTCTCAACTCAATGTGTGCATGCCAAACTGCCAGGGTCACAAACATATCAGTGTAGAGGCTGTCTACGCAGGTGACCTTGTATGGTGTGCAGAACCTGGTGTGTGGAATATTCTGAAAATGCATGTCAAGGGGGGCATAATGAACATGAATTCGAACTACACACTATTTGGCACTTGTTTACAATGCCACACATCAATTGCACTGTACGTATCTCTCCATGCTTGGGGCATGTAGTCTCGCTGTCCTGTCCCTACACCACTTAGCCTCCCCAACCAACACTTCTTGTGCCAAAAGGCAGAACTGCAGACCTAAACAATGTCCTTAGTTCATGGCAGTTGCTGATTGGAAGGCTTCCCACTCGCAGAAGCATGTTCACAGAACAGCTTCATGTGCTCTTCATCATTGAGATGAATGACATGATAGCACTCGGTTCTTGGTTCGCAGGGGATACCAAGTTTCTTGCACAGAGTTCAGTGGACATCAACATGCTTCAGGAACATAACAATCAATACATCACTAAGGCAACTTGACAATACGGAACATTCGCCAAGCCACACGTCTCTACTGAGCTCAACTGGTCAGACAGCAACAAAATTCTAGTGGCCTACCCATGGCCTCCCAATGCTCAGCACCATGTCCCAACACACCCACCACTACACTGTGCTTGCAATCCTTGGCTCGCATTGGTGGCATGCCACCTTACTAAGGTGGCATTTGCAGAATAGCACCAGTGCTACTGCTCCCAATTGCGCATCCATAACGTTGGGTGCTATGTTGCTTCACCAGATTGCATTGGGCCACCACTGCAATGTTCTGCGAATAAGTTTCTATTCTGGGGTGCTATTTGGCATTCGAGCGATGCTATTCGAGGCCCCATAGCACTGCTCAGGGCCGAATTGCATTGAGGTGCTATTGTTCCACTAACCAGTAATGATGATGTTTTGAGGTGAGGTGCTATTTAGATGACCAAATTGCACCACCGATGCAATAGTGCACACTGATAAAGATGCTCTAGGGATCCAGCTGTTTTGCAGTGCAGAATTCCAATCCTTAGCATGGTGCTAATGCTGTGCATCATTCAGCACCTGAAGTATATGTCTTATCGTGCGGTGCTGCTCACAGCCACAACAGGCCATCACAGTCGTTCACAATGTCCACTTGGCCATAACATCCCATTAGGTCCTACAAAATTCAGCTGACTTTGGGCGCTGTTTGGATATCAGGAGAAGAGTGCAACAACATGCGCTTCGCAAGTGTGGATTGCATATTGTATTTATGAACAATCGTTCTTGCGAACATCGTTTTCCAGATCCCAACCAAGCCAAAATCGCCAACAATTTGCTCTCCATCAGTCAACAGCATGTTGCAGGGTAACTCGCAACTGCTGCTCCCAGCTTACTGCCTGTGGCTCAGTGCAAATGTCTGCAGGTTGCCCATCCATCCTTTGAAACACCTTCTCCTGACCGCGCCGGATCTTTCACTGGTTTGATGCCACAGCCTCCAGCTTTCATAACCTATACACGAATTACAGAATGTTCCCGCTTGAGCGCGTAGCTCCATTGTCTTAATCGCAAAGTCAGGTTATACAGGCGAGGGGCACAGGAGCGCTGGTCAACCTACCACCTGGGATCGCACACAGCACAGCCTGCGAATGAGAAATCCAGGACAGGACAAGACCACATCATCGGGCGTTCAACAGAGCTGGCGCAAAGTGGATGGGACGACCCAAAGAAAAAGGGCAACGGGCACACACCGTCCCCACGCAGCCTCCGGACAACAGCTCGAGGTAGGCAGGCCAGTGCCAAGACACGAACAACAGGGAATGTGCCGACGCTTGCATTTCCACTGGGGCACAACACGACACCGACGTTAATCGCTGCGGCGGTGCTGTGCAAGGCGACGAGCAGCGGGAAGCTGCTGCGTGCGCGTGGCCCCTTCGCCTGGCAGCACACGTCAGTCATGTGGCCAGGCGCAGAAAAACCACCCTAGCTGCCGGCCGAGGTGCGGCGAGGACTGTGGTCCGCGGCCTCAGGTCACAAGATATCGGAATGCATTGGACAGCAAGCCCACGCGTGGAGTTGAGATTCTACCCCAAACCACAGAGACGGGATCGAAGTCGCAACCCCTGTGACTTCACGCGGTAGCTAGTCCCTTGACCCCTTCCCCACTGAACAGCTTGTTGGCAACGCAAAACTTCGCCGTACAGCGCTCGCTTGCTTTGTTCCCTGCATGCCAGCCCATTCCCTTGCTCTCTGCCCCTTCAAATAATGTTCGCAGCACATCCATGGCCGCCGACAAGCCCACAATCCCTAGCCTTCGCCTGTCTATGCCGCGGTAAGCTGCGCGATGATCTTCTCAGTTGTAAAATACCCAAACTCGCAGTAGTTCCCTGGATGCAATAAGGGAACGCGCCTCCTGCGGTGCTTCCCCGAATAAGTGTCAGCCCACACGCGCTTGCCGATCCCGCCTACCTTCCCCTCAGGTCTTTCATCAAAGTGACGACGTCTTGCCTGGCCGCGAACGCTCGCTCGCGTGCAGGGCGGCGCTCACTCGTCAGCTTCCGCTGCCTTCCAGCTCCAGGGGTTCCCTATGGTCCGCTGCTACAGGCAACGAAAAGAAGCCTGTTGAATGCCAGGGCCTCCCGGTGGGTGTTGCAGACGCTGGTGCGTCAGTTTTTTCGTCCGGCCCCAATTGGAGCACGCTGTCAAAACATTGGAGACATTGGAGCACACGTTCCACATGGGTCTCGTGCATATTTCCTGGGTGCAGCCAACTTGGATGCATTGTGCGCATCCAAGTTGGCTGCCTTGTCCCGCGCGGG